CTGTGCCCTCCGCGGCTGTGCAGACTGATGAGAGGCATGGTGCGACTGGCGTGGACGGTGGCGCTAGGTTTATTTCCTTCCTTCTCTCTGGCGAAACAGTGGCTGTTGAGGATCCGCTGCAGGGAGGATTTCACCATCCGGCCGCTGGGGTCCGAAACCAGGAAAACCTCCGCTGCGCCTCTCCCGCGTCGCCGCCGCTGCTCGCCGTTCGCAAAATGGCGTCTCCGCAGCCGCCCGCTTTTATAGGCGCCGCGGAAAGGCCACGCCCCCTACGCCGTCGGGAACGCGGCCGCGCGAGGGGGCGGGGCCGCCGGGAAACAAGGCACGCACGCCCCTCTCGGCTTCTGATTGGCGAACGCCGAGAGAGAGGGTGAGATCACGCCGAGGATTGGGCTAAAAGCTGAGGGTCCCGCCCCCACCCTCTGGCGTCCCTCTGCGGGCGCGCGGAGGGGGCGGGGCCGCCTTGGCGCCGAGAACCCCACGCGCGTGCCCACTCCACCCCACCCCAACATTCGGACCCGAGCCGAATGGTGGCTTCGCGCTGGGTCCGTTTTCGGTGTGTCCCGCTGTGGCCCAGTCTCATCTGTGGTCCCCATCGCCGTCACTAGGTCCCCTTGCCCCAGCGGGGCCCCCCTCTCGTGGGACCGCCACCCCCCAATAGGTCAAAATTATTTTCAGTAGTTACCTGCGAAAGATCGGTCACAATGATGGCTTTCTGGATTCGGTCTCTCACGTTTTAAAAAGAATTTTCAACGTTAATGACATTGAAAATTTAGTAAAATATTTTTGTCTAAAATTTGGACTTAACAAAATATTTCTCTTTGCAGATAAAGTCGGATATTTCATGTGTGGACTAAAAATTTCCCCCAACCAAAGGTATTATTTCGGGCAGTTAAGTTCAGAAACACATTTCACAGAAGAACTAAATTTTGCACTTACCACGCAATGCTACCCATTTCTTGTAGGTCCCACTGTGCTTCGTGGTTCCATGTTGTAGGCACAAACAGAAACTCGAAAAGTCACATGGGGTTGAAGCAACTCCTATTTGTTTCTTTGTTTTTACAGTCCAGACCCATCATTTTTATCTCATTTTTATCCCCAATCCACTGTGTTCATTTAGATCAGAAACACAAACTTTCCCCAAAGGGACCTTGAATAATTACAAAACTGATAGACATTTTACTCTGCAAAACATGTGTCCAGTCCCTGTGTGTCTCTGAATTCCTTTTTATGTGGAATGCAATACTACGTATACAATATAAGTAAGAAAAATGTCTAGTTCACAGTGACATAGGTGATGAAAACAACAACAAAAACTGACAATTGCAGTGGTTGGGCCAACCGAAGAATTTTCTCAGAGAAAAAAATATTTCCTCAGTGGCATTGCTTAGGATTGCAGCTCAGGGGAAAACATAAAGCAAGTGGATTTTCCAGTTAACTTTATGATTGATTTCAATTTTCTTACAGAGGCGCGCACTTTTAATGGGAGTGCTCACGCCCACCATCCTAGGTGGGGTGTAAGCATCCTCATATTTGTATAATTAGTATCCTTGTTATTATTTAGGCCTCACACTTTCTTTTCTTTCTTTTTTAAAAAAATATATTTTATTGAGTTTTTACAGAGAAGAAGGGAAAGATATAGAGAAACATCGATCAGAGAGAAACAACGATCAGCTGCCTCCTGCACGCTCCCCTACTTAGTTACATGTGCCTGCAACTAAGGCACATGCCCTTGATCAGAATCGAACCTGGGACCCTTGAGTCCACAAGGCCTTACATTTTCTTAAAGCTGGAAGAGCCTCCCAATTTTCACATTTGTTTTTTCCTTCTTCATAGGTCTCCAGTGTCTTACCCAAACGAGCGACGCCAGGCCAAAAGTCCAGAATCCAGGCCTGCCAATGGCTGGCCACTGGTCACTGAGTCGCACTGTGTTTACCCATCATGACTGAGGCCAGAAAGGGACCGAGATCCCAGCTGACACCCAGCATGGTGTGCTTGCAGCCCCGAAAGGACCGTTGCAGTGGGGTGTCTCCGAGATCTCACCTGCCAACCTGGAATCTGGGGGTAAAACATAGGCAACCCCAGGCCTCCTCAGCTCTCTGGGAACCAGCAGAGGCCTCAGGACCCTGGCACTGAGACTTGGGGTGGGGAGGGTTCTTTGTTCGTTGGTAGGCCTTGTGCCGTTTCCGGCCAAAGTAAACTTAAATGTGTAACCATCATGGGTGGAAAAAGGGTAGGGGGTGGGGGTGGATGCAAGCCTCTTAGAAAACAAACTGAAGCAGGTTGCTTTTTGCAAGGGTGGAGGAGAAAGGGGGTGTGTCTGGGGCCAGGGCTGGGAAAAGTCACTGCAGGGGGTCCAGATGCCTGAGGGCTCCCCGCCTGGGCAGGGAGGTGGGGAGCAGTGTCGTGTCACCCTTGTGGGGACAGTGGGCTCTGGTTCCGAAACAGTTGCCTCTGCCTGTTGTCATTTCCGGCACAGCCACAGGAGACTCACCCATGGGATACAGGGCGGGTGTGTTGTCTGCTTTGCTCCCTATGTGGTGATGGGGGTGGGGACTGAGGTACTTGCCACCCCAGAGGTTGTTAACACTGAAGCCAGACCGGAATCTCCTTCCGGGTTTCATCCTGCACAGAAAGACCTGCCCCTGGGGAGTGTACAGGAGGCAGCCAATCAATGGTTCTCTCTCATCATTGATGTTTCTATCTCTCCCTCTCTGTGAAACCAATAAACACATATATATTTGTAAAAAGGATTGATTGGATCACTTTACCTCCTGGTTACTGTTATTCTCAAGCCTGGCCTTATTCCTAACATTATTCTCAGGGGAAAAGCTCTTGAGAAAAAAGGGAAGTAAACAGAACCGCTGGTTTAAATATGCATCAGACATACTTCAGAGAGAAACAGGGCCAAGGAAGGCTTCACACCGTTGCGATTTGGCCACAAATCCACACACACATCTGCGAGGGATGATAAGAAGGCGGCCATGGTGTTGGGACAGCTTTGTGAAAACACCCCAAGGGCTAGAGGGCATGCGCCAGGATTAGCAGCGCCTGTCTCCAACCGGTGGCTGTTTCTGTCGTTTTTTTTTTTTTTTTTTTTTTTTTTTTTTTTTTTTTAAATATAGTTTATTGATTTTGTACAGAGAGGAAGGGAGAGAGATAGTTAGAAACATCGATGAGAGAGAGTCATCGATCAGCTGCCTCTTGCACACCCCCTACTGGAGATGTGCCCGCAACCAAGGTACATGCCCTTGACCGGAATCGAACTCGGGACCCTTCGGTCCCCAAGCCGACGCTCTATCCATTGAGCCAAACCGGTCCTGGCTGTCGTTTTGTTTTAATTGATTTGAGAGCCAGAGGAAGGGAGAGGGAGAGAGAGAAACATCGATGTAAGAGAGACATCAACTGGTTGGCTCCCTCACAAACCTCACTCCAGGGCAGGAAGTGGACCCAAAACCCAAGTATGTGCCGTTGACTGGGAATTGAATCTGAAACTGTTCAGTCCAAGGGTGACACTCTAACCACTGAGAAACACCAGCCAGGGCAAAGCTTATATAGTCTTTTCTTCTTTTAAATATATTTTATTAAGTTTTGAGTGAGAGGAAGAGAGAAGGATAGAAAGCTAGAAACATCGATGAGAGAGAAACATCGACCAGCTGCCTCTTGCACACCCCTTACTGGGGATTATGCCCACAACCAAGGTACATGCCCCTGACAGGAATTGAACCTGGGACCTTTCAGTCCGCAGACCGCCGCTCTACCACTGAGCCAAACTGGTTTCGGCGACAGTGGCTCTTTCTGGAGTGGGGGGTGGATCGCCCTTCAGCCAATGCCTGGCCCTCCTGCAAGCAGGCTGGGGGGAAGGGGGATGACTCCCCAGCTGTGCCTGGCTCTCCTCCCCTTCCTGTTCCAGCCACAGAGCTGATAGGCTCTCCCTTCTGCCTCTGGCCACCTGTTGCTGTCTTTCCAGGAGCCACCCTCCATCTCCATCCCGTCTACCAGGCCCAGCATGCTGGCTGTGAAGTAAGTGGGGTTGGGAGAGGCCTGGGTGGGGATGAGCGTCCCCGGGGGCACCTCTGAGGTCCATGGGGGTCCCCAACTCTCGTGTCTGCCCCTACACTCCTAGGGGTTCACACCCCCTGCCCATGAGGCCCCTCCACTGCCCTGCTCCAGACCCAGAGCAGAGTCACCTTTCTGCCAGAGATGGGACACGCTAACACAGGCAGCCAGAGGTGCCAGGGAATCCTGAAAAGCAGGGCTTTGCGATGCCGACAGACTTGGGTTTGACCTCGGGCTCTCGTACGACCTCTGGGCAGTACCTCTGTCCTTAGCCTCAGTCTCCTCCTCTGCTCTGGAGGAGGAGAGGCAGTGAGAGGAGACAGGGACCCCTTCACCGTTCCCCTGCCTGTTGTGAACTTGAGCCCCTAGATTTAGGGAACGAGGTGCAAGGCACAGCAGTGAGAGTGGTCCAGAGGGAGATCCCTTGGGGGCAGAGGTCTGGAAGGGGGTGGGCCACGCGCTGGCCCGTCCCACGGCTCCTGGGCGATGGATAAAAATAGCCCCTGGTCTCAGAGAACATGAGCCGACTCTGGGGCCCAGGGCTCTGGTCTGAGCTCTTTGCTCATCTCTTTGTGACTCTGGGTGGGTCCGAATCCTTTCTGGGTCCCCGCAGCCTCTACTGTGTACTCAGGGATGCTGGGGCCCCAGAGAGACTCGCCAATGGGGAGGGGTCCCAAGGCAGGCCTGGGGGGGGGGGGGTCAGGGAATGTACCGGGTCATGCCCTGAGTTTGAATTTGCCAGGTAATGAGGGCTCCAGGAAGAGGGTCCTTCAGGGCTGGGGGAAGGCAGAGGCCGGTAGTGCATGAACTCAGGGTCCTCCCCACCTGGGTCAGGCCCAGGTCCACTCCGGGGCTCAGTAAATGCAAGCTCCCTCTTTCCCATCCACCGCCCCCTCCACAGCTTGAGTCTGAACTGAACCTGCCGCTTCTCAGACATCTCCATGACAACCATGGCCTTGGAGAAGCCTGATGGAGGCCTGGGCAGCTGCCAGGCGGGTGAGGACCTCTCTGTACTGGCTGAGCTCTGACCAGGCAGGCCCCCGGAGAACTGGGCTGGCGGTATCCTTGGGGGTGCTGGCAGGATGAAGACCACGCCCCCCATTCTGAAGATGGCTCACCTTTAGAGACCGGGACTTGGACCCTCACACCAGCGTAAACTGTGACCTGTGCTCCCATTCCCCACCTCTGGCTCATTGGTGCCTCAGGTGTTATAAGCTTAGCAGCTCCTTGTAGGCGCATCGGTGCCTATAGGGAGCGCTCCCCCTCCCCGGAGAGGGGCTGGGACACTCCGGTTGGGGTTCCAACCCCAGCCTGCCAGGGAACCGCCGTGTGCCCCTCTGCTTTCCTACCTGTGAAGTGGGAGCCATCACCTGCCCCTCGCCCAGCAGAGCCCGGAGGAGGGTGGGATTGGCCTGAGGGTCCCCATGACCTTGAGTCTCCTTCCTCTTTTCCCACTAACAGGGACCCCCAGGCTGGCCGACTCCGGCAGCTGGTCCTACGTGAGTAGCTGGGCTCTGGGGTTTCAGCCCAGGACTCCCCTGGAATCAGGGACACGCTGGCCAAGGAGGGTGGGTTTCTACAGCCCATGGGAAGGTCTTGGGCTCCCTCCGAGGAAAGACCAGAAGGAAATACCCAAGGTGACTGGTGACTCCCCACAGGATTCTCAGGAGCCAGAGGCGGAGGGTAGCCCTGCAGGTAAAGTGGATACCAGGCCCAAGAAGACAGAAAAGGAGTCTGTGGCCAAAGGGGCCCCAGGACCCGGCAAGGAGAGGCCGAAAGCAGGAGCAAGTCGGTTTGCAGGAGGCAGGGATGACGGGGGGGTGGGCATGGGCTGACATGGGGAGCTGGTCCTAGGTGGGGTGGGTGGATCTGGGGTGAAGGGGGGACAGGGTGCTGCAAGGTTGGCTCCTGGCTGCGTGGTGACCAGGTGTCACAGGTAGTAACTGAAAGGTCTGGGAGCTTCTGCTAATCTATAATGAAAACATAATATGCTAATTAGACCGGACATCCTTCTGGATGAAGCCAAGGCAGTGGGGGTCGTGGGGGCGGGTGCAGAAGCAGCCAAAGTGGCAGGGGGCCTAGCCCCTTGCACAAATTTCGTGCATTGGGCCTCTAGCTCATTATAACACCAGCTAAGTGCTACTAGGCTTCAGCTAACGATCTAGAATATTCTTCACATATCAGTGAAGCTGCCAAATCAGCCCCCTGCCTCGGGCCACACTGCGGGGCAGGGCTGAGCGGGGTTCAGGGTGCAGGTCCGCCCCTAGGAACCGGGCCCAAACCCCGCACTTGCTCCTGAAGCCCCGAGGAGCCCGGCGCGCAAGAAGGCCCAGGCCGCGCCGCCCCCGCAGCCGCCGCCGCCGCCCCCGGCCCTGAGCGAGGAGCTGCCCTGGGGGGACGTGTCGCTCAACAAGTGCCTGGTGCTCGCCTCGCTGGTGGCGCTGCTGGGCTCGGCCTTCCAGCTGTGTCGCGGTGAGCCTGTGCCCCCGGGTCCGAATCTTAGACGTCCCCCCCCCCCCTGTCTCCCCAGCATGGGCCTTGTGCGGGGTCCTCCTCTCTGCACCTCCGAGGTCCGCCTGGGCCCCTCTCTCCAGGATGGGCTTGGCCGCCCCCCCCGCCACACACACACACACTGTGCACCTTGTAGTGGAGGAGGGGACCTTCCCCTCCCAGTATGGAGCTTGGTGCACCTCCCTCCCCGGTCTATGCTCTCCCACCCCCCATTGGCCGTGCACGCCCAGGATGACCACAGGCGGCACCTGCAGCCACAGAGAAATAGGCCCCGTCTGTTAGCCACCGGCCTGAGGTTTGGTCCCAGCAGTGGGGACCGCACCCTTGCCCAGGGCTCGGAGGAATCCAGCCCAGCTCCGAGTCCTGGGGGACATCGGCTCGCCCCTGCACCTGTCAGTCCCGGGGAAGAGGCCTGGGACAGACGTGTGTCTGGCTCTTGGCGACGGCTGATTTACTACACCCCCCACCCCCAGACATGGTGATTGGAGGGGCGGACGCCCCTGTCCCTGCCCCTGCGCCATGGGTCCCTCCAAGCTCTGCGCCAAAAAAGTCAGCGTCGCCCCCGGTAAGAATTTCCTTCAGCGACTGCGGGCGTTGAACCCTCTTCCGAAGGAAGGGGCTGTGCCTTGGGGGAGGAGTGCGGGGGAGAGGGGGAGAGGACGGGGTTGCGCTGATTCCATCATCCCGCACTGGTTGCAGCTGAAGCCCGAGGCCTGGACGCCCCCGCCGGGACCAGCTGCGCCCCCGGTGCCCGCGGAGGAGACAAAGGCTCCCAGGAGTGCGGAGGCTGCAGGGAAGGAGGCCGGGGACCCTGAGGAGGCCGCTGGGGGGGAGCGCGCGCCCCTCGCCCACGAAGGGCCCCAGGGGAGGCCGCAGAAGGAGAGGCCGCGGAAGGAGAGGCCGCGCAAGGAGAGGCCGCGGACCGAAGAGAGACCATGGAAGCCGGAGAAGCCCCGGCCCGCCAGGGGGCCCCGGGAACCTCCGCCCCAGCGAGGGAAGGAACGAGAAGAGGGCCATCGGCCGTGGGAGCGGGACTCCGGAGAGGCCAAGCACAGGAAGAGGCAGGCCTGGGCCTCTCCGCGACGCCCCAGCGCCGAGGACTGGCCTCCGGGCCGCCGGAAGCACCGCGCCGGGAAGGGGCGCGACTGAGCCGGCCCGGGCCCTGCGCCGGAACGCCAGCACGTCTTCCGGGTTAGCTCCTGGTCCTCGCGAAATAAAGCGCGTGCTGCGGCCCTACGTCGCCTGCTCCTTTGCACCTCGGCCCCGGATCTAGCCCGGGGCCTGCATGCCTGGGACGGGGACCTCAGACAGGGGTGGGGTAGCCAAGGGAGGAGGCAGTGCCAACCGATGTCCCGGCCCTGCGCGCCAGAGAACCGGCTGGAGGAGGCCCCGCTTGCCCCCCAAACGTGCACGGACACCTCCGCCGTGCGCTTGTGGTCTTTATTGGGGTGATGATTCGGTGGCGAATAAATACGGACAGGGGCGCGGCTTGGAGTCACCGGCAGCCGCACTCGGTGGCCACCATGTTGGGCACGTGGTGCGCGCTGATGCGCTCCTCCGACAGGGTGATGAGCAGCTTGCCCGCGTAGGCCGTGGGCACGCAGCAGGGAGGGCGCGCCAGGGCCGCCCCGCGGGCCTGCATCTTGAGCAGCAGCACCACGTGGTTGCCGTAGCGCGGGTTGCGGTCGGACTGCGGCCAGCCGCAGGAGCCCTGGCAGTTGTTGGCCTGGTACGTCTCCGGGATGAGCACCGAGCGCTCCGCACGGAGGTCCACGCTCAGCTCGCGCAGCGCGCACGGCTCGTCCGCGGCCCCGGCCCCCGCGCTGCGCTGCGCCCGCGCGGGCCCGCCCCACGCCCTCCCGCGCCACTCGGCGCGCAGGCTCTGCAGCGCCTTCAGCAGCAGCAGCGCGCGCAGCGGGCCGCCGGGGCCCCCGGAGTCCCCGGGGCACAGCGCCAGCAAGCGCGCCAGCAGCGGCGGGGCGGCGGGCGGCAGCCCCGGGAGGCCGCGCAGCTCGGCGGCAGCCGCCTGCAGCTCCGCGGCCACTCGGCGCGCCAGGTCGGCCGCCCACGGCGAGGACTCGGGGCCCGGCGGCGGCGTGGGGTCCCCCGCGGCGGCAGCGGCGGGCGGCAGCAGCAGCAGCAGGGGCTCCTCGCCGCCGTCAAGCAGGCGCTCCAGGGCCACCGGGTCCGACAGGTTGACCAGGCCCTGCGGGAAGCCGGCCAGCGCGGCGGGGTCCAGGGCCAGGCGCGGCGGCGAGGCCCGGGCGTGGGGTCCCCGTAGCGCCCGCACCAGGCGCGTGAGTGTCTCCAGGAAGGGATCGGTGCCGGCGCCAGGGAGTGGATCCTCGGGCTCTGGGTTGGGACTGAAAGGCGGAGACTGGATGTGGGCTCAGCTGCTCCCACCCACCTCCCCGGGCCCGCGGGCTGGGCCAAGGCGCACCTGGGCGATGGGAAGGGCACTGTGTCTAGCTGACCGCGCGCGGGCATGGCCGTGAGCCCGGGCCTCGGCAACAGGAGGAGGACCGGGGTCCTCCGCGTGAAGCATCGGGGGTCGGCGCCGAACAGCAACGCCTGCAGCTGCGCGGTGCTCAGGGCGGTACCTGGGGGGAGGGCGCCGGGCCGAGTCAGGAGCTGGGGTCCAGGGCAGCGGCCCGCGCCGCTCCCTCTTCTCCCAGCCTACCGTTTTCGCGGTGCCGAAGCGTTAGGGCAAGACCCACGCCCTGCCAGGCCCCCGCGGGGCGGTCCACTGCCAGCGCCAGGTAGCCGGTGTCCCGGGACAGGCAGAGACTCTGAGGAGATGGGAGCTCAGCTCGGCTGGGCGGGGCGCAGGATGCCAGCCATGCTCTGTTCTCTGCCCTTAGCACCCCTTCCAGGGTCTACCCTGGACCCCTGGAGCCTTTCCCCCGGTGAAGACGGTTGAACCACCCCTCCCCTCCTGCTATGGGTAAGGGTTACTGGGGGTGAAGGAATGCCCAACTCAACCCTGATACCTGGGTGCCCAGCAGCCCGGCCCCCGTTACAGTGACCTCTGGGCCGGGCCCGGGGTACAGCACCAGCAGCGCCATCTCCGGGGGGCTGATTTCTCCAGATGGAGGCTCCTGGAACCTCAGCGAGGGTGTTGGCTCCCACGTCACTGCCGCCAGGATAATGGGGAAGGACAGCTGAGCTACTGAGGGCCTGAGCCCCTCGCCTAAGCCTGTCCTTCAGGGAGGGAGAGCTCCACCCCAACTGGGAGCCTTGGGACACTCATGGGGGTGGACACACCTCAACACAAGGTGCAGGTCCTTGCCAGGACATGGGTGGAAGGACTGACAGGGTGGGTGGTGGCTGCTGCCTGTCATCCCTGAACCCTTGAGGTCTCTTGGGTTTGGGGACCTCCTGAGTGGAGGTCCGTGTGTCACGTGGGCAGCCCCTTCCTGGAAGTGTATCTGAGGTCAATGGCCCGAGGTCAGGCCACCTCTTACTCTGGGCTACCTGCTGTCACAGGGGCATCCTCCACTGCTGGCCCAGCCCCATGGCTCCTTCCCCGGTGGAACCTTCCCCGGCAGTGCAGGAGGGGTGGTCTGGGAGCCCAGCATTCACTGGCAAAGATAAGGGCCCACACCTCCCAGGCTGCAGGCTCAGCCCAGCCTAAGTGAGCAGGGCCATAGGCTTCAACTTCCCCAGGTCAGAGAGGGCCTAGGGTCTTCCCTGGGAAAATAATGGCCATCGTGCAATGGGAATGATGGCTAGGGGCCACAGCAGAGTAGCCTGCCCCGCCTCAGCCAGGGGCCCCACGTACCTTCCTCCAGGTGCAGGACTGCCAGCTGCTGCCCCCGGGGCTCCCCCAGCCACACTCTAAGCCACCGTAAAAGGGGCAGCGCAGCGTGCTCGTGGCTAGGGGTGCAGACGCCGAAGGCGGCCAGGTCACGAGGCCCCCAGTGGGCTCGATGCACGGCCTCCAAGAAGGCCTGCTCATAGCCCCTCAGGGCTCCCGTCACCCGGAGGGGGGCACTGCTGCCGTTGCTGCCACCAGCCAGCGTCACCAGGCACAGGGAGTCTCGCTGGCTGCGTGGAGGCAAAACCTGGGGGGCTGGCCAGTCCCAGTCTTGGTGGAAGATGAGACCCCCAGTGCCTGCAGGCTCCCCAGGTGTTTCTTCTCCAGGGGTCCCAGCCCCCATCAGCGTCCTCATCGCCCATAACAGCAGGACCAGCAGAGAGAGAGGTGCAGCCCTCATCCTGGGAATTGTAAGGGGCTTGGCCACTCCGCTTATATGGGCCAGCCCAGGGTGTTTGTGCTGGAGGACAGCCCCTATCGCCTCCCAGGAGGTGACCTTGGGGGCCAGTGCCTGAGCTCCCCTCCAAGCCTGGGCCGGCTCAAAGCCCCTTCTGTTCTGGCCCCTATCTCCTTCCCACCAGTGATAGAAAGTGTGGCTTGTGACCGATTTGTCCAACTGTCCTTGAGGTTTTCTCTCCGGAGACAGCAGTGGGAATGTGAGCAGGGAGTGACCAGCCCAGATGGACCAAACATCAACAGCTGTAGGGCCGGGCCCGGAGGAGGGCAGAGGCCCCTCCCTGAGACCCAAGACACCGGTTGTCTCGGTGTGTTCAGACCACCACCAGGCGGGAGGTCTCCAGGCTCAGCTGGAGCTCTCAAGTCTCCTGTCCACTCCTCCTGCCCTTAGGAACCAAGGTGCCAAAGGAGCTCCGGCATCTGGGCCTGGAGACCCCGAGGACAGAGAACACCCTCTGCTTTGCTCTCCTCCCACAGGCTGGACCCCAGACCCACTGCGGGCAATGTCCGTCTCCCATCTGCAGTTCTAGGACACAGAGGACATGTTGGAACACCCACCAGTGTCCTGATGGCCACGGAGTCTTGGAAGCCTGACCCCGAACCACTCCCACATACGGTGGAGGGGCCACGCCACAGCGACCTTGCCCACACCATGGATACAGCAGTGCAACCAGGCTTCTGAAAAGGTTGTTTAATGCGATCTAGGGACACGGCACAGCCTGTACAAACACCAAACTCAATCGGGGAGGAGAGATAGGGAAACAGGAAAGAGACCTGGGAGAGGGGGTGGTTTTTCAGTTGGCTGGGGGAGGGGGTGGAATGTTTCCAGGGCCCTCGGAGGGCAGTGGGGGTCTCATCATTGGGGGCATGGGAGCTGGGGGATGGACCCCGGGATTGGAGGGATGAACTCCAGGAGGCTGGGGGTGAATCCCAGGAGCTTGAGGATGAACCCCTGGAGGAGGGGGGTGTACCCCAGGTGGCTGGGGGTGCATCCCCGGGGCTGGGGGGTGTACCCCGGGGGCCTGGGGGTGGACTGAAGAAGCTTGTGGGTGTACCCCTGGGGTCTGGGGGTGAACTCCAGCAGATGGGGGAGGGTGGACACCTGGGGCTGGAGGATGGACTCCTGGGGCTGGGTGAACCCCAGGAGCAGGGGGATGAACCCCAGATGTTGGTGGGTGGACCACCGGTGCTGGGGGATGGACCCCAGGAGCTGGAGGGTGAACCCCAGATGTTGGTGGGTGGACCACTGGTGCTGGTGGGTGGACTCCAGGAGCTGGGGGGGGCAGCTGAGGAGGGCCCGGGGGCCCTGCAGGTGTAGGCCCACTGGGTGGCATGGGGGGCATAGGCAGGCCTCCTGGTGGGGGTGGAGGCAAAGACTCAGGCAGTGGTGGCCGAGGGGGCAAGCCATTCATCAGTGGGGGTGGTGGCCGCTTCACCCCAGGAGGCCCAGCCGGGAGGCTTGGCGGGGCTGGAGGCTTTTCCATCTTAAAGTGGAACTGGAGAAAGAACTGAAAAAAAACACGGAAAAGCTGAATGGAGCCCTGGAGGTCATGAGAGGGGAGAGAGGATGGCCAGGGCAGTCACCGGAATTTCCTTGAATTGCTTGGACCTAGAGTGACTTACCTGCTTGGTTTCTCGGTTCCAGTGAGTCCAAAACTTGCCCTCGGCCTTGTCAATCTCTCTGCTTGGCACCTGCGGGGGTGGGATGAGGGTGGGAGAAAGGGGTGGAAAATGGCAGGGAGCCCAAGGCCCAGGTTTAGGCAGGGACTGCTCCCAGGTGTTAGAGCAGGCCCAGCAGAGAGCCCTTCATGAAGGAAGAGGGCTTGGTTTTGGAGTACCAGACACAGCTTACATTCTAGCTCTGCTGCCTAGTGACCCCCATCACCCCAGTTAAATAATGGTTTACAATATTGTGTTCACCAGTGTCTGTTAGGGCACAGGACACGGTCAAGGGATTCCTGACCAGCCCAGCACAGAAGCATGCACTGCTCTTGGTGGGGTACCATCTTAGGATGCCCTTTCCCACCCCAGAAGCAAGCCCCTATTGGGAAGGACACCTCTGGAGTGGGCAGCACAAGCTACCTTGAAGGCAATGGTCTCGTAGGGCTCGGCAGCCATCAGCAGGTACTGCCAGCGCCTGTCTGGGGGCTCGATCCTCTGCTCGTAGGCAGACATGAAGCGGTGGCGTGGCATGATACCGTCAGCGATCTCAGGATAGTCGATCTGTGAGGATACAGCCAAATGGCAGCACTGCTTCCTAGGAGCCCCTCCCCTCATGACTGGTCCCTGGGCCTCGTCTCACCTGGAAGAGGAGGCTCTGCTGGCCCATCTCTGTGTCCCTCTGCTTGGTCACTGCAACACATAGGGGTCTCAGGTCCAGGCCAACTCGTCACCCTCCCAAAGCTCAGGACCCCGGAGAACAGGACACCAGGGGAGGTCACCTGGCTGTAGGGCCCCAACCAGGCCTGGGAGAGCTCTGTGCTATAGGTGCCACCTGCCCAAGACCATGGAGAAGGGCTTGGAGTTGCCCTAATCCCCCTGGGGCCTGGGGCAGCACTGAGCACCGAGCAGGAATTGAAGACAGGAGGCACCATGTGTGTGGGGCAAGTGAGGCCTGCAACTCTGCCTCCGGGAGAGGTGCCCTTCATATCAGAGTCCTGTGGCTTTCAGGCTGTTCTCTGCACAGCTCCCAGGCATGTAAAATTTCCCTATAAGCCCCCTCAGGTTCTCCCCACTACACTCATGGCAGAAACTGACAGTCTATCACAGCCAACGGCCTTTGGTGGCCCCACGTGGACCCTGCCACTGTAGCCCTGGTTCATAAGCTGGCCTGTGCACGCTGTGTTCTGTCTGCAGTGCAGACACACACATGTTGTTAGAACATAGTCCCCTATATTCCAACAGGGTCATATAACCAGCTTTCTGAACTAAGTAACCCAGAGCCCCTTTCCCTGCTAATGGCCCTGCTGAGTAAGCTGCCACTAACACAGACCATTACCCTCCCACTCCCCTCTCTCTTCAGGTCCAGAAGAGCCAGGGCCTAGTTCTATGCTCACAGGAAAGGGACCCAGGAGGCTCACTGCCCCTCCCACACATCACTCATCTTCACCAAGAGTGCAAATAACTGAGCTCTCACAGCACCCTGATGGGCACACAGGGGCGTGGCACCCACAAGGTCATGTTTGAGAAAGTTCACATGGAGGGGGGACCCCAGTGGGGTGGATGGTTTCTGAAAGCAATGCAAGGTCTGAGCAAATGAAGGCCAGTGAACAGCAGTGTGTATATGGCTCAGGGGCGGGACCAGGGTTCTGAACAAAAGGCTCACCCCTTCCAACACCAGCTGTGGGCCAACCTACCCCCAAGCAGACTTACCTTTATAGCCCGGGCGGCCGATCTTCACAAACTTCTTCACTTCTACCTTGACCTTCTCTGGTGCTGGCTGGGCAGGGGCCTCCTTAGCCTCTTTGGCTGCTCGCCGGGCCCTATAGGCATGATTGCCACAGTGCTGCTGCTCTTTCTCTCTCTCTCTCTCTCACACACACACACACACACACACACACACACACACACACACACACACGACGCCAAGGCCACAGGCCCAGGTGCTAGGAGCCATCCTGCCCCCACATCGACCTTGGAGAGCCTCTGCTAAGTGAGGGCGTTGGGAGGGGTGGGGTTGAATGGATGGGTGGGGGAGTCTCAAGGTTTGAATGGAAATGGGTGAGACAGGCATGGGCACCTTTCTCCTTTTATTTCCCCTTGTTCCTTACTAGGGAGCCTTCTGAGAACCCACACCCTTCTCCTTGTGAGGTAAGGAGCATATCCCGTTCCTTCCCTCACACTCGGGTAGCTGTACCCACCCACAAGGTACTGATCACAGGACGAGCTGGCCACGAACTACCTCTGTGCCACTGTCTGGTGTGGCTCACAGATACGACAGAGAAGTGCCAGCTCCTAACCCGGGGCCCCAGGCTTTGAGCAGCGAGTAGGGGTGACATACTCACAAGTTGGTCTGGTGCTTTTTCCCCTGGGTGTGCGCGAGGTAGCTCCCCTAGAATGGGACAAAGTGAGCAGGGATGGGGCCTGGATGCCCCTCAACCAGTCCTGCTCTCCCTTCTGCCTCCTGGGAGCAGGGCCCCAGTATCTACAGTGCAGGAGGGAGAGACCCTGACATACAAAGGCTGTTCAACAGCACGATGCCCATAGTTGTGAACAAATCCCAAAACAAAGCAAACGTTCGACAACACAGGGGAAGAACAAACAGGGAAGGACCTGTTCATTGCTGCATGTTGAACCCAACGTGAGAACTTGTCAGATTAGCATATGGATAACCTCACAGTCCTTAAAGGAAATGAACTGGAGCTACACCACTAGACCTCAAAACCCAGTGTCAGATGTTCCCAGATGTGACCACATCTGTATGACAATGGCACCAGTGGCATTAAAGGAAAATGGACAAGCAGCAAATTCACAGCTCTGGTGGCCTCTGGGCCCCAGGAGTGCAGGCACAGGCTGGGGACAGAGGGCTCGGTTTTCCGCTGGAGTGACCAGCATCTCTTCTAGGAAGATGCACCGGAAGCTGTGCTCAGTGTGAGTGGTAGGCGTGAGTGGCGGCCCCCATCACCTCCTCCACCCTCGGCCGAGTTATGAACAACAGGTTAACAAGCAGAAGCCCGGAGGAGGGGTGGAGCAGCGCGTCCTGCCAGAGCTTCTCCATGGGACAGGGGAAGGGACATGTGGGCAATGGGCCCTGAGAACTCACCTCATTGTTGTGGAGCGTCAGGCACAGCTTGCATTCATATGAGCCCAGGTGGTTCTTCATGAAATAAGGGTCCTGGGAGGGAGGCAGAGTCCATTAGGTCGAGGGAGATGGTACCCTGAGCCCTCCCTGCCACGAGCAGTGCCCGAGAAGCAGGGCTCTCCCCTGGCTGGCAAGGGAGGGGTGCTGTTGTCCTCTGGGATAGATGTTCTGGGACAAAGGACTAGAAAACAGGCCAGCTCAGCATGGGCCTGCCAGGGCAGTGCTGGGGGATGACTCTGTATCTATAATAAGCGCCTGGGGCAGGGGCGGACATTGCTGAGCAGAAGGGTTCTCCAGGAGAGTCCCTGGCCCCACATGGGTGGCAATTTTGGGTCAGAGCCCAAGGAGCACTGCTGGTCATCCATCTCCAAGGGGCAGGAATCTGGTCACAACCCACAGCCTTCCAAGTGCTGCAGCCCAAGGCAGGTACGGGCAGAGGAGGACCAGCACGCAGTGAAGGGAAAGGCGATGGAGACCATGTCTCTGCAAGTCCTGTGGGCTGGACAGGTGACTCTCCATAAACCAGGCAGCGGGCAGTGCTGCTGATCGCTGATGGGGAGCAGACTTGTGGGGTTCAGATTCTACCTCCACTGCTCAGGGTCGTGTCATCTCTGACAGTGACACATTCTCTGTCATCACAACTATTTTTTCATCTGGAAAATGGGGAAAGTAAGAGAACTGACCTCAACCCATGAGGCTTTGAGAGGCTGCCTGGCTGTACACACCTCTGAGGGTTTCAAAGTCTACGTGAACCATACACTGGCTGCCAGGCTCTCACCCGGATCCCTGGGCAACGTGTATCTGGAGACATCTGTGACTGGAGGTGCCTCTGGCATTGAGTGAGGAAGGGATCTGCTCGACACCTCACAGCGCCTAGGATGGCTCCCCACACACTGACGCTGCCCAGTATCAGCTGTTCCCAGGGGGAAAACTGGTCTACCAACAGCTCTGTGTTGGTAAAATGTTAAACTAAAATGTTGCCCTTCACTGCCTATGGCTGAAATGAGAGCAATTCATGTGCTGCCATCCTGGCCTTCCCCACTGGAGATTCTCCAAGACACTGATTAATTGATAAACAAAACCAAAACACCTCATACAGTAAAAAAAAAAAAAAGCCCTTGAAATTTAGGGTAACAGCAGTCTTGGAAACTTGCTGCTCTAGGTCAAGTTCCTTTTTGTACCGACTAGGAGACCAAGGCCCACAGAGCCAGACAACTGCTCAAGGTCACAGGTGTAAGAATCAGAACAGGACTCCATGGTGAGGGGGAGGCCGTGGGGACCTCCCTGGGGACCCACCTCACCTTGTTGATGTCGATGGTCTCCAGGGCCAGCTGCCGGAGGCGCTCCCGCCGGTCCCTGTTGCTCTCAGAGGAGGAGGCCACGCCCCCACTCCCGGTCTTGCCCCCCGGGCGATGTTGGAAGTCCATGGTGAAGGCCTTTGGGCTTTACTGGACTGGGGGGAAACCTGAAGGAGGGGGGAAGGGGAGAGGTGGTAAATGTTGCTAAATGTGGCCAGCTGTCACTGGGGGACTCAAGCCCAGTTCCTTCAGAATAAGCACCTGAATCACTAGTGGCAGCTGGTGCTGAGAAAAGTACCCAATGAATCTGGCTCAGGGAAATCCAAACCCAAGCAAATACTTAACTGCTCACCTAGAATAAAAACCAGTAACGACTGGAACCCAAACTGTGGGTACCTCACAGCCCATGGTACACGTTATCCCTCTCCTGGCAGCACCCCCACCCGGAATGAAATGAGAACTCACATCCTGACCCTGAGAGAAAGGGCCACTGAGAGGAAGGTCCCTGCCCAGGTACCCTCAGCTCTCCAGAGAAATCAGTTTTATATTCAGAAAAGGCAGGCACAAGAGAGGCTGGGGATGAGGGCCAGGTTGAAAAGAGGGAATCCGCCGAAACCGGTTTGGCTCAGTGGATAGAGCGTCGGCTTGGGGACTGAAGGGTCCCGGATTCGATTCCGGTCAAGGGCATGTACCTTGGTTTTGGGTACATCCCCAGTAGGGGGTGTGCAAGAGGCAGCTGATAGATGACTCTCTCTCTCATCGATGTTTCTAACTCTCTATCTCTCTCCCTTCCTCTCTGTACAAAATCAATAAAAATATATATATAAGAAAAAAAAAGAAAAGAGGGAAGTCCATCAAAACCAGTCTACTGCCGAAACCGGTTTGGCTCAGTGGGTAGAGCATCGGCCTGCGGACTGGAGGGTCCCGGGTTCAATTCCGGTCAAGGGCATGCATGAACCTTGGTTGCGGGCATATCCCCAGTAGGGTGTGTGCAAGAGGCAGCTGATCGATGACTCTCTCTCATTGATGATTCTAACTATCTCTCTCCCTTCCTCTGTAAAAAAACCAATAAAATATATTAAAACAACAACAACAAACAACAACAAAAATACAGCCTACTGGCCAGCAGGCAGACTGTCCTTCCTCCCACTGTGTCTAGAAGGCAGGCAGCCTGCCTGGAGGCCCAGCTGAGGGGCACTTTAGAAGGCGTTTCTGGGTAAAGAAGGCCAGGGAAAGTATTCTCACACTGACAGCAGGGGGTTCCCATGCCAGGCCCGCTAAGCAGTGAGAGCCACAAGATAAGAAGCATGGCTCTCCCACACAGAGCGGATAACTTCACATAACAGACACAAAGCATCAAACATATCCAAGGAACAAGAAACCTAATGGAAACCTCAAGAGAAGATGATAGCACCCTCCTGAATTATCAGAGAAGTTACTGGACCACGAAACTTGAACAGGATGCCAAAGGTCAGCCCTTGGAAAGTAGAGACTGGATGATCCAAATAATTGAATACAAGCGCTTGAAGGTCAAAGAAATCTCTCATAAAGGAGAACAAAAAAATGAAAAGAGAGGAGCACAGTAAAAACCTAGATGGAATTCCAGAGTGAAAACAGAAAGAGAGTATTATCAAAGATAATTACCAAAGGATTAAAAGAAAATGCCCAGGACTAAAAGGATCTAATTCTTCCCACAGAACAAAAAGACCTTCTTCAATAAGTGGCTCAAGAAACTTTACACCATTGAGGAAAACCCGTTTCCATTAGTCAAAGAAATAATAGGTCACAAAGCAGAACCAGGCCAGTGTTATTCATAACGGTAAAGGCCGGCTTTCAGAACAGCACTGAACTCATAAAAGGAGCAACATTCTCACAGGTCTCAATGTGGATCTTCAACCCAGAATTTTAATTTCATACCCAAACTGTGAAGGTAAACAAAGCCATCTACCTATGTAAAAGCCTAAGCAACCATCATAACCAAACAGGTGACCAGGCCGGCAGGGGAGGCAGTGAGGGGCGATCAGGCAGGCAGGTAGGCAGGTAGTCCAGCAGTCCAGGATTGTGAGAGGGATGTCTGACTGCCGGTTTATTATTTATTTATTTATTTATTTATTTATTTATTTATATATTTTATTGATTTTTGTACAGAGAGGAAGGGAGAGAGATAGAGAGTTAGAAACATCAATGAGAGAGAGTCATCGATCAGCTGCCTCTTGCATACCCCTACTGGGGATATGCCTGCAACCAAGGTACATGCCCTTGACCGGAATCGAACCTGGGACCCTTCAGTCCCCAAGCCGACGCTCTAACCATTGAGCCAAACCGGTCTCGGCTGACTGCCGGTTTAAGCCTGCACCCTGCATTTTGTGTGCTGGGTCTCTAGTTTTCAAATAATAAGGACTCAAAATCAACCTACTGGTCAATCGATTTCTTCAAAAACTACCAGATGAGCTTATAGTAGGAAGAGAAAAAATGGTCAGATTGAAAACAAGCCAACTCAGGAGAGTGCTATCATAAAGTTCTAGAACAACTGTGGATTAGCAGAGTGCAGGGTCTGGGGAAAATAAAAGGATCAATTCCTTTAAACCTGTGGAAAAATACCACCTACGGCTATATGAAGTGCTGGAGCTTTGAGGAAAAATTAACAGCCGGCAAAGAAAATCAGGGTCCTGGCTAGGAAGCTCAGTTGGCTAGAGAATCATCCCAGTATACCAAGATTGTGGGCTTGATCCCCAGTCAGGGCACATACAAGAAGCAACCATAGATAAGCAAAACAACAAATCCGAGTCTCTCTCTTGAATTAATAAATAAAAAAATTAAAAACCAAGCCCTGACCGGTTTGGCTCAGTAGATAGACTGTCAGCCTGTGGGCTGAAGGGTCCCAGGTTCTATTCCGGTCAAGGGCATGTACCTTGGTTGCAGGCACATCCCCAGTGAGGAGTGCGCAGGAAGCAGCTGATTGATGTTTCTCTCATCGATGTTTCTAGCTCTCTATCTCTCTCCCTTCCTCTCTGTAAAAAAAAAAAAAAAAAAAAAAAATATATATATATATATATATATATATTGAAAAAATTAAAAACCAAGCTAACAGAAAAGATGAAGACATGAATTAGCTTTGAAGGGTGGGGTGGGTCAAAAATGAACAGTTCAGGAAAAGCAACACAGATGAACATGTGACTTGCCTTAATAGCGAACAATATTTCCAGCCTCAGAAACAGAGCACTGTCTGGATTTGCTCCCCCGTCAGGGCACTTACAAGAATTAAACAATAAGTGCATAAATATGTGGAACAACAAATCAATGTTTCTCTTTCCCCCTTCCTTGCTCTGACATCAATCGATAAAAAAAATAAATAATAATAAATGAAAACAGAACTAGATTTGACTAATGCTCATGACATAGATACATCCAGGTATGGAGGGTGAAGTTGGCCTGGATGGGGAGGAGGGGGGCAGAAATCAGACCTCATCGATCTCAGGAAGAAGCCAAAAGGCTGTCTAAAAGCGACACACCCAGAAAGCCGGCTTTCAGCTTTGAGCAGAGGCGTCCTCTGGGGCCAAGGAGGATGCAGGGATGAATGACCGCTTTTATGAGCAGGTTATAATCTCCTTAGACAAGGCAAACAGACTATTAACGTCGGGAACTCTTCTCCCTCGTTCTGCGCTGCCAGAGGGTATCGGAAAGAACGGTCCTGGCATCTCAGTAGGAAAGTCATGTAACCTCGGGGCTTCGCTGACGAAAAGGGGCCAGCTGACGGGCTCTGCGGCCTTGGGTGCGGTGGGGCACTCTGTCCTCAGGGCCTTCTTTCTTTCTTAGCTGGCCTGGAACCCGTGACCACCCTTACCCCCTTACCTTACAGACCCTGGGGCTCAGCGGCACCGTGTGACTCTCGGACCACAAAGCCAGTCAAACTAACGGACGCAACTTAATGCTCCGAGAAGTTCTCGGTTACTCGGAAGGCGCCATTAGAGCTGCGCCCCCGACCGGATCTCAGCAGCGGGCCTTCGGTGTTTCAAGTGAGCGGTGGGGTGCCAGGGGCACAGAGACCCGCCATTCCTGAGGAGTGGGCAACGCGCCCGCCCGCCCGCCTTCAGCCGCGCCGCAGGCGCCCTCCAGGGCCGCCGCTCTCGCCTCGATCCTCACCTGCACCCGAGGCCGGGATCCCGTCGCCTTTTCACCCGCCACGGGGCCGCTACGACTTCGTCCAGTGAACAAGCGCGGCCTAAAGAAGCACTTCCGGAGGTAAACGGGGCGGGACTTTTCTTGTGTGCAAGTTCCGCCCGCTCGAGAGCCCAGGCGGGGGAGGCACCGGAAGCAGGAGTGCGCATGCCCACGAGGCTCAGCAAATAAAACACACACAAAAAACACACCACGAACCAAAACACAGCACCTCTCAGTCAGTCTAACTCGGAGGGCTGGGACTTGCCCTCCTAGGCCTGTTCCGGTCCATTTCAGTAGGGATGCTTGCTTTCCAACCCGGTCCAATATAATGACCGTCGTGTCGCCCGCTATCCCCTACGCCCGGCGAGGGCTCCACTCGGTTTCTGTGCCCCACTCCCACCCCCTCCCCCGGGACCCTAGTGCCCCTCCCCGGTGATGTACTGATTGAGAAGTCCGGGAAGCGCAGGCGCAATAGCTTTGGAAGCGCTTCCGGGGCGGCGCTGTGGGACTTTTTTGGCGCGGCGGCCGGGAAATCGCGGCCCGCGCTCAGCGTTCTGGGTCCTGGGCCGCCATGCGCTACAACGAGAAGGAATTGCAGGCGCTGTCCCGGCAGCCGGCTGAGCTGGCAGCCGAACTCGGCATGCGAGGCCCCAAGAAGGGCAGCGGTGAGTGGGGTAAGGGCTGTGAGCCGGGGGCCGGGCGGACGGGGGTGCCGGTTGGGGCGGGATGGGCGGTCACCGAGCCCGCGAGAGCCCGCCCTGTGTCCACAGTGGTGAAACGGCGGCTGGTGAAGCTGGTAGTCAATTTCCTCTTCTACTTCCGGACCGACGAGGCCGAGGTAGGGCGGCGGGAAGGCGGGCCCCGGGCTGGGGTTGGGGAACTGGGGTCCCCGGATGGCCCGCCCATCCGGCTCCTCTGCCCCCAGCCCGTCGGAGCTCTCCTGCTGGAGCACTGCAGAGTCACCCAGGAAGAGCCCAGCGGCTTCTCCATCAGTGAGTGCGGGGGGCGGGGACCCGAGCTCCGCTCTGCCCCTCCCCATGAGCAAAGTCGCGCTCTCCGCTTGGCCACCGCCAAGGCCTCCAGGGCTTTCACTTCTGTGGGCGAGCACTGCCCTCTCCGGGTGCCTCCACTGAGAACCGCGGAGCACCGGTTCTCAATGCCCGGCTGGGGACCCCGGAGGATTATCCTGAGTTACTTTTGGGAGGATCGAGTCTGCAGGGAAAGGCAGAACTTTTAATTTTCTGTAGTGGCCTTAACGTGCCACAGACTGTGAGGCTTCAGCAGCAAAAAGTTATTTCCCCCAATGCTGGAGGGTAGGAGTTGGAGGTTAGGGTGTCTGCAGGACTGGTTCCTTCTGAGCCAGGAGCCAGGCCCTTCCGATTTCTGGAGGCTGTTGGCAATCTTGTAGAAGTGCCACCCTGATTTCTGCCTTCATAGTCCCGTGGCCTTTACCCTGCGTCTGTGTCCAGATCTCTTTATGACACCAAATTCCACCTCACTCTAATGTGTCCTCACCTTAACTAATTACACCTGCAACAACCTTCTACCCAAATAGGCTCTGTTCCCAGGTTCCAGGAGCTAGGTTTTGAACATACTCTTTTGGGGGGATACAGTCTATAGCCTGTGGGAAGCAGGAGCCCAAGCCGGGTCTAGAGGAGGGGACAGTTGTAGAGGTGGCAACAGGAAACTGAGGCCGGTGGCGTGGGAGTGGTGGTGGGAGTGAGCTGGGACAGATGGGGCCCCTTCCTCTGCAGGTTTCATCGAGGACCCGGAGAGGAAGTATTACTTTGAGTGCTACAGCGAGGAGCAGTGTCAGGAGTGGATGGGAGCTCTTCGTCGAGCCAGGTAGGGTGTGGGGTATATCCTGGCCTGGGTGCCTGGGGCAAGGGCAGAGCTGGGCTCTGTGCACACAGGCCACTTCCTTTCCCAGCTACGAATTCATGCGCAGGAGCCTCATCTTCTACAGGAACGAGATCCAGAAGATGACTGGCAAGGTGTGCTTGGGGCACGGGAAGTGGTGGTGAAGGGGGGCGGGGGGAGGGGGAAGAGCTCCTGAGCCAGGGCTCATGCTATCTCTCCATCACACAGGACCCCCTGGAACAGTTCGGCATATCGGAGGAGGCCCGGTTCCAGCTGAGTGGCTTGAAGGCATGAATCGGGGTTTAGGCTTGGGCTCCTCAGCTTGACTCACTGAGGCCCAAAGGAGCCCTCCCTATCCTCGCCAGGCGATGGGTTTCCTGGCCAAGCCTGGATTTTTGGAGCGAGGTGTTTTGACTTAAAGCCTTCAGTAGCCCCAGGCTTGTGAGGGTGGGCAGAGGCTGTGCCTTGGGACCCATTCAGCGCCTCAGTACCACATGCTGCTGCTTGAGGGTGGGTATACAATGCCCAGGAGCTGTGCTTGATTCCTCAGGCTCACCCACCTAGTGCCTGCTGAGTTCCTGAAGCTGGTGCAGCTCTCTTGCCCTGTGTAGGCTGAATGTACGAACCTAGATAATGCTGTGAAGGGCTTAGGAGCCTTGCCTTCTGGGCTGCTGTGAATTCTGCTGAAGGCCAGGGCCCGGCCAACACCTCTGGGCAGAGCTACAAGCATTTGCCCTTGGGCGGTATATTTGTTCTATTCAAATAAAGGTACCTCTTTTCCACACGGGACCGTGTGCAGTGAATGCAAAAGGGACATGTCCTCCACAGGCCCGTGGAGCAGGTTTCCAAGGGAAGTAGGGTTCCTGGGGGACAAGAGGTGGTTCTCTTCAGGCCTGGGAGGAAGGAGCAGGGCCATCCAAATCGAGGGGAGGAGACACAGAACCTAGAGCCTAGAAAGTCAGGGAGGCTCAAGGGCCCCGAGGGGTGATCCCCAGGTATCCCGGGATCCCACCTCTGGTCACAGGCTGATTCTTCTGAGTGCAGGGTTTGGTTTTTCATTGAAGTGCCGTCTAGCGGGTGGGGAGACCTGACCTAGTCAGATACCCTGTTTCCTCGAAAATAAGACAGTGTCTTATATTAATTTTTGCTCCCAAAGATGCGCTAGGTCTTATTTTCAGGGGGTGTCTTATCTTCCCATGAAGAAGAATACGGTACACATTTATTGTTAAATGAAAATAAAGGAAATTTATTACCTGTATACGGTACGGTAGTATGGTAGTTGTCAACACAAATCAGACAAACTGTGAATCCTACAGTATCAAAAATTTACTCATTTATTCAATGACAATCATGTCATCATCATCTGGAACATCATCATAACAATGCAATTCCTGAATTTCCTGGTGAATTTCTTGTGACTCCATTTCTTTCAGAATCAGTGGACCATCTCTCTCATGTTTAGCAATAGCACTGTCTTTAAATGAGTACTTCTTGTCAAGGTAGCCTGCTCGCAGTGCATTTGCAATGCAACTGTCAGTGATTTTCTCCCATGAATTCCTCACCCAAGTTACAACTTCTTGTAGTTTAGGTTTCACAAAGTTTCCACACCGATTTCTCTCCATTCTATTTTCAATGTAGTCATTAATTTCCATGCGCAAATTGTCTTTGAGTGACTTCTTTATTGCAATATCAAGAGTCTGGAGATAGGCCGTCATTCCTGCGGGAATCATCTGATCTATTTTTCTTTCGTGAAGAAATGTCTTCATGTCTTTAGCACGGTGAGTGCTGGCTGCATCCCAGACTAGCATACCTCTTTGACTCCCTCGTATAACAAGCGGTAGCATTAAATCATCCTGAGACAGAGCCGGGGGAGGGAGGGTGAGGGGGCTTATTTTCAAGGGGATGACTTATATTTCACTCAGAAGGGAACCTGTAAGTAGGTCTTATTTTTGGAGGATATGTTATTTTCGGGGAAACATGGTAGTAACCCCTTTTGATCCTCCTGTGTCATTTTGATTGCCCCCTCTGATCCTTCTGTCATTTTAGGTGATCCCCCTCCCCCCACCCCTGTGCCACTGAACACCTTCACCAGACATCCCCTTTACCCCTTTATCAGACATTTACCCCTTGGGGACTGTCACTGGGGCCTGGATCTGGGCTGGAGCAGAGTCTGCCACTGACTGAGAACCTTCAGTCATCATGAGGGCGGCCGCGAGCATCAGGTAGTGTCACCAGAGACAGACCAGCATGCACCACCTTCGCCAAGTCCCATCTGCTCTAATCCTGTTCTACACGCATCTGCAAAAGTCTCCTCCTGCCCCGTGCTCACCGCTCACTCTGACCTCCACTCCACCTCCACACAGCAGTGACGTCAGGACTCTGCGTAATGTCACTGGTTGCTAGACACCAGTCGGGGCGGCCCTAGCGACCAGTTTTTGGTAAATTAATTTTCATTCTGAGACAGAGCCTATGGGGGCCATATTTTCGGGGGGATGCCTTATATTTCACTCAGAAGGAAACCTGTAAGTAGGTCTTATTTTCGGAGGATGTTTTATTTTCAGGGAAACATGGTAGGTCTCCCTGAGGTGGGTACTCACCGCCCAAGTCACAAAAGCTGTTTTCAGGGGCATGTGGGGCCTCTGCTGGTTGTTACCATGCACTACATATGGAGCCCTCAAGGTCCTCTAAGGTCACACCATGTGAGAAATGCCAGTAGACTAGGTTCAAGTGAAAACAAACATTTTATTACAGTCTGGAGATGGAAATCAGAGTACAGTGGGGTTCCCTTACGAAAAGTGGGTCAAACCAGCAACCCCAAGTGAAACACGGTCTACCAGAAGGACAAAGCAAGGCTGGTCCGAGACACTTGACATAAGCCAGCATGGATGGACCGTGGGAATGGGAGTGGGGGTGGGATGGATGAACAGTCTCCTTTGGACTTTGGATAAATTAAAGGGCAAGCGGGTCTTAAATAAATCATAAGTCATAGCTGAAAGGGAAGGCTGGCTCCTGACCGGAGGGTCTTCAGAGTTAGGTTTTCCTGAGCAAAGCACCCTCATAGCCCTGGGCTTCCCTGAAGTTGTCCGTAGTCAGAGCAGCACTGATCTCTGCCCAGAGGAGACTAGAACCTGTTCTTCACAGGGCGTTGGTTGTTCATGCACCCCACCCCACTCCTTTGCTGCCCCCCACTGCCAACAGCGGCTAATCAATCTCACAGTCAGGAAGGCTGGAGGGTGGGCACAGAAAGGAGACCCCGGCGCTTGGGTAGACATGGTTGTGTGGGGAACACAGATATAACACGTCAGTAGGAAGTCCTGCGCAGTGGCACAGTTATCACAGAAGGGATGCAGTGTTTATAGGGTTGCTTGATTCCAGGCCAGGGACTCGCTATATGCTGCAACTTTGCTACTGCTAACCCTGTAGCTTTTTTAGGGAGCCCTGTGCTGGAGGACATTGCAGGATGTGGGGTGAGCACAGCACCTTCGTGTGCCAAGAGCACAGACCTGGAGGTAAGGGAGCCAGGGCAGCAGTTACAAGACAGCCAGTTATGAGAACCTGTCTAAGCACCATCTACAGCCTGACTATTGCTCTGGGCCAGGCATCACCCCTGGTACACAGGGCTCTACCAGGACGCACCCGAGGAAATTAGGGAGTCAACAGCCAGGCCTGTTCTGCACCCTTTTGGGCCTGTGTTCCACAAGGCCACTGGCGCCCCCCCCCCCCCCCCCAAAGGCTGGCTCCAGCCCTGCCTCCAGGGATCTGGAGCCAGGCTTGCCATATCAGCCCTCCCAGGCAGGCCAAGGGCCCCTGGCAACCATATCTGGAAGGACAGGCCGTGCTGGCCAGGCTGGGGAAGGTAGGAACTTGAGGCTTTTTTTGGGTTCCCATGTTCCTTGGTGGTGCTATCTCAAGGGGACAAGCACCAGAATAGCAGGGCTCTGACTGAACCCATCTAAGCCTGAAGCACCCCCGGCTGGGGGTCCAGGCCCTGCTACCAGCCAGGACCTTTGGCTGATTGCCCTTCAAGAGGACGGAGGGCTTCTGGACACACACTTTCCAGGAAAATGCACAAACACTGTTCAACTGAGACCTAGGACTATTAAAGACTGCAGCACTGGAGGGACCAGATAACCATAACCCTGTTGGCAACTTCTGAAGCATCAGAACAGCTTCCTGCCTTCATGTGAAGTTGGCCTTTGCCCTCATTGCTCACCCACAGTGCACTCATTCCCAAGCACCAGGGAGGCTGCTCCAGGCGTGGGGGCAGGTGTCAACCCAGCTGTGGCAGCGAAGTGCCACGGAGCAGCAGTACAGACTGACCAAGAGGATGGGCCAATGCCACTTGTATGCACTTGAATAAATAAAAAGGTTCCCCCCCCTTTTATTTTTACATTTACTGTGCATTATACAATCTAAAAATAAATGAAGTCAGTCTATGAAATTTATAAATTTTCATCACATCTCTATAAAATACTGTCACTTGTCAGCGTGACTCTCTTCTATACAGACACACCAGGCACCATGGCTAACCTGCCCCACGCCCCGGCCAGTGCCTTGCTTGACTGCGCCAGCCCGAGACAGTACGGACATACAAAGTAAAGCACTTGCTCCCCAGCAGCCCCACGTTGGAGTCAAGTACCAGACCTGCCCCATGAGCACCACTCACAGCAGCCCTCCTCTGTGCAACCTCCAGAGGCCACCCACCGGCCCTTCCTCACCAAAGGCGCCATCCCTGGGATCAGGGCTGACATCTGGCTGAAGCATTCACAGTGAAGGGGTGGGGCAGAGGGGCATTAAAAACCAAGTGAACCACCCTTGACCAGGAGATAGGCATGCCTTTGGTATGGGAGAGCTTGGGGATGACAGGGCAGGCGCATCAAGGACTGGTTTTGGCGTTGGTCAACCTCGAGTCAGCACCAAGAGAACGTGGAGATGGCAAGGCCTGGCGACGAGATAGCACCGGGCCCGGCTGTTGGAGTCTCTGCTGGCGGGCCAGTCCGTCCGGTCGATATCTTTATATAGATCCTCTCATATATAGTATTTACATCTCTTAATAGGTTGCCTTTATGACTTCGGTGGAATAAGTCAAAATTGTTTATACTTTTTAAAAAACGATAAATATTTTATCTAAAACTATTGACAGTATAAGCTGGAGCCAGGCCCAGCATCTCCCGCAGGTCTGCGCAGCGTGGACTCAAGAGCAGAGCCTTGTCCTCGGTCCATCCCGCCATCTGGTCGGCCACCAGCCCTGCAGCCCACCTATCCTTGCACAGGTCTCGAGGTTGAGGTAGAAATCCTAGTTACCTGCAGAGACCGGCGCAGGAGGAAAGGCAGCACAGTGTTAGCATCTCACTGGGAGAAGCCCAGACATCCCCAGGCTGGGAACCAAAGCCTATAGACAGATGGATGGACAGAAGGAACTTAGTTGTTGCAAACAACGCCCTGCCATGCCCCTGGTTCCATCAGAGGTGGGAGGTCACCAGCCCAAGGCCTTCCATGGGGCGCTGCGTCCCGGCCTCCTCACCTCCCTGGTCACCACACGCCAGCTCATGGGGAGTGAGCAGGTGTGCCTGTGGGCAGCCCCACTGACAGGCCTGCAATGCCCAGCAGTGAGGTCATCACTGTCCAGCCTAGGGAGACCTGTGATGGGCCTGGGATGAGATGGAAGGCAGGTATCCACTGTGGGTCAGGGCAGGGAGCCTGACACCCAGATGCTTCCTCATATACACCTTTGACCTCTTCAAGCCAGTGCCTTCTCTGACAGCATGAAGCCACTTTGAGCTGGAGCCACCCTACCTTCCAGACTTTTCCATCAGGACTGAGGCACTACCAGAAGGTCATCAGACTCCTGCAGCCTCATGTCTGTTTCCACTTAAGCACATGCAGATAGCCAAGGAGAGCAAGCAGACCTCCCACTGGTCTCCAGTGCCAGTTAGCACCTAGCTTGATCCTGGAGTACTCACCCCATAGGCTGTGGACTTGCCCGGAAAGGCTCTTTGCCTTACCAGCAGTGGCTGGGTCAGCTGCTCAGGGGCCCAACACCCTCACAGCCAGCAAAGGAGCAGATGGCCTTCCTGAATGCTTCACAGGCACCTTTCTTACCCCATTTCCAAAGTCAGGCCCTTCCTACACTGTTCTCCGACTCCACACTGACATCAAAATCCTTGAGGGCCAGAGCAGCACCAATCACCTGTCCAAACAGCCCTTCCTGTGGCTGGCTATGCTCATCCCATTACCCACAGGCCTCTGGTGCATGTGGGTTGGGCCTGCACAACCACCATCTTCTGAAGGCCAGCTAAGTACAGGGGCCTCAAATGCTTAATTTCCTAAAACCATGAGGTACATTCAATAAAACAGATTGAGAGAAGCCTAAAAGCGGGCAAACAGCAACTGAGATTCAGAGCTGCCCCACGGCCCCACGCTGGGGCTTCCTGGGTCCCTGACGACTGCAGACATGCAGCCGGAGGATGGCAACAAAACGGAGCGGGATTTTACAGCCAGGACCCTGGCCGCATCCACCTCCTCCTGGTCCCCTCTATGCAGGACTTAGTGCAGTATCCTGCCTGCCCAGCCTGCAGGCCCTCCCTCATCTGCTATTTCTTTGGCCTGGAGCACTGTGGGACCTGGTGGGAGGGTCCAGTGGGCACCAAAGATTGGCCATTCCCCTCCTGAGCTCTGTGGTGGTGCTCAGGCTGTACTCAGAGGTCAATACGCATGGCTGCCACTGTCTCCCTTCCCGCCCTGCGCTTATTCTTTCTTAGTGCCTCTCAGAACTATTGGTCCCAGGCCCTCTGCAGAGCCTTTGGGGCCTGTCCACTCTCTGTGGAAGAAAGGACAGGTGAGTTTCTTGTATGGGCCACCTGGTTGGGCTCTAGCCTTACCTTACAGAACAGAACGGCTAGCTAACCAAGGTCTTTATCGCGGCTTAACCCCCGCAAGGCGCGCGGCATAAGGAGGCGGCATGCCAAGGGAAACCCACACGGCGGACGGCCCCGTGGAGCTGGCCTGTGGGATCATGGGTGAGGCCTGGGCCAGAGCCAGTCCAGGCAGGGGCTGGTGGTGCACCATGAAGGAGGGGCGGGAGACCTTGTGTGGGAGGGATGCGAGCTTGATAGATAGAGAGGCGTTAGCAGGAGGCAGAGAGGCGGCAGAGGAGGCAGGTAAGAAAGCTTGGTTAGCCGGGAGGGGCGAAAGATTCTGCAGGAGCACAGGCTCAGAGTTAGCAGGGAGCAGTGCAGGAGCAGGAGGCAAGGCAGCGTTAGGAGGAGGGGGGGGCGCGTGAAGTGCTGGTGGCCCTGCAGGGGGCCGACCCAGGGGCAGAGGAGGCTGGGGTGGGGGCTGCCTGGTCTCCACAGAGGACAGGGCCTGAAAGGAAGAGGCGGGGGTACTGGCCACCGCCTGCATCGGGGTTAAGCTCAGCGTGGTGCTGCGACAAGCAGCCCCGCTGCCGAAACTGGCTCCAAACGGATGAGTGGAGGCGGAAGGCACCGTGTGGTTAAAGATACCTGCAAACAGGAGAGAAAAACTCAGCTTCAACAGGCGGGCATTCTCCAGGCAAGCGAAGAGACACACGCAAAAAAGGGGAAGCAGACAGCAGCCGCAGCTCTGAGTGCACACAGGTGCAGGGACAAAGCAGCAGGCAGCAGGAGTGCAGGTGGCCAGGTGAGACTTACCTGCAGGACGGCCCCATGCCACACCCCCTCAGCACTCCCTCCTAGGCTCCCAGCTGGGAGCATCTCGCCCACCTGTACCCAGCAAGGAGCCACCTAGGAGGCCTGGGACTACAGAGGACACAGACAGTGGCTCCACTCCACCCTACACAGAGCCACAGTGCAGCAGGCGCTGTGGTTAGTCTCTTGCAATGCCCGACAGTCCCCAAGGCTGTCAGGTCTGATGGTGGCCTCCACACGGAGGCATGAAAGCTCTAGTCACGGCGCCAGCTCTCCTGAAGGTATGAAAGACCAGTGTCACAACCAGAAAGCCTGACAGGCCAACTCACGCATGAGTGCTCTGCCCATGTGAGTCATATCTGCATTTTGTGAAAAGGAATGAGGTGGCAGGTGCAAGGTGGACACAAAGGGACCCGAGGGCACAGCCTCTCATCCCTTAGGGGGCTCTGGAAGGAACCTGTAAAGCAGTTGTGATTAAACCCAGTGGTCCAGGAGGCTTCCTTGACGATGTAGTGTCACGGACCCCAGAGCAGGTCCCGTGGGACCTGAGAGTCAGACAGGAGAGACGCGCTTCTGCCTACCTCCAACTGCACCACCTGCCACACCGGAGGAAAAGCTGCCCATGGCATGAGAGTTGGTCAGTCTGGTTGCAGCGGATGAGACGTGCACTAGGCCAGCAGCAGCCGGCACAGAGCTGAACAAGGACTGTAGCACAGATGAGCCTAAGTTGGCCTGCAGGGACATGGGGCCCAAGGCAAACTGTGGGCCAGGTGCAAAAGTGCCCAGGAAGGGCCGGTGTGTCTGGGAGGAGGGGGCTGTGCCGCTTGCTGAGGACGCTGCTGTGGTGAGGCCGGGCCCACTGAGGAGGCCCCCAGGAGGCACGGCAGCGGCAGAAATGAAGAGATTGTGGCCATTTTTGAAATCAGGCTCGCGGTCCCGGCCCTTGCCCACCTTGCCATGTGATGAGGCCTTGTCTGAGGGTGTGCACGCGGGCAAGCTGACTTCTCCCTCCCTGCCCTTGACCCCCTCACCCTTTGGGCCACCCAGTCCATCCAGCTGCCTCTTGTTCACAAAAGGGCCAGGCTCCGTGCTGCTCTCCTTACCCCTCGGGGCGGAAAAGCTCAGGGGGGCACCCAGGCTGGCCACCTCAGGGGCCTTGTGGGAGAGAGAAGCACCATCACTGAAACTGTGTAAACTGAGGTCGGCAGCCAGGCTCCCGCTGAAAGCAAAGCCGTTGGGGGGGTTGCTGATGGGACTCAGCCCGCCAGCCCCCGACAGGGCACCCGGAAAGCTCTTCCTGGGGTGGGTGGCCAGCTTGGCATCAACTGAGCTGAGCTCCTCTAGGGTGGGCCGAAAAGCGAACAGGGAGTTCTGGCTCAGAGCGGAGCTGGCCTGGAGCGGGCTGTCAGTGGCCTTGGCCAGGCCAAGGTCAGCGATGGGTGAGAAGGTGGACTTCCACTTGCTGCTGTTGATGGGCTCGCTGGAGGGCATCGGCTTCCTTCCTACCAGGGTGCCACCTGATGAGGAGAGGCAGGGGCTGAGGCCTGGGAGCCTCCAAGGGGTCAAGTGGGATGGGAACTGTGGTTAGGTCTCCGAGGGGGTCTGGGAGGAAGCTCATGGGCTCAGGCCACTATAGCTCAGAATGATGGATGCCCTTCAACCCAGAAAAGGTTGGTCCTCCATGTGGTTAGGGTGGGACGGACTACAGGAGAAGGTAAAGATGAAAGGAGTGCTTCTGTGGGAGGGCAGGTGGGTGAACGAGTCAACACAAATCAGACTTTGGCCTATTTCACCAGAAGGAAACAGGTCTGCTGCCCAGGCAACTGAGGATATGGTGCCTGGCAGCAGCAAGACTGGCCTGTGGTGAGAATGGCCTTTCTAGCACCATTGTGCTCAGGAACCTGTGCAGAAAAGACAGGGCATGCCACCTAGCACTAGGGACTCATGCAATGGAGCACTGTTACTCACCATTTTCCAAGGTTTTCGGAGGAGATTTGCTTTCTAAGGAGATAGTTGCAATTTTTCTCTCAATTCTATCAAGAAGAAAAAAAAGGACTGTTTGAAATACCTGTGCATACTGAGAGCTATGTGTGTTCACCGAATTGTCCCAGGGAGGTTGAGCAGCAGTAGACACACAGCTCCCCTGCCCTTGTACTTCCTTCAAGGAGGACCCATGGCTGTTATGTCCATTTGCAGCCCAATTACTGAGGGCTCAGCAGCTAGAGGAATAGGCACTCCACTTCCCCATATACAGAGACACACACATGTCCCAGACAGAACCCTCTCTCAATCTGTTTAAAACCCCCTGCTTGTCATGTCATCTATAGTATGTCATGCATGTGACACATAGGATATAGTACACTTCAGCAAGTTGGAATTCATAGCAGCCCCAACTTATAAATGGTGTGCATTATGTGTGTCAGTGTACTATGGCCTTTCCCCAAGGACACAGAACTTCCAAATGAATCTGGAGCCTGGTAAGCTGGATGTGCCTGAGACAAAAGACTACTCAAGTGCAACCTTTAAGAACATAATGTATGTATGTGGAAGAAAAACAAAATAAAATCACTTGATGAGACACCCAAAGAACAGGCAATAAAAGAAAAAAACAGATAAATGGGACTTAGTAAAAATTTAACCCAGGGAGAGAGGGGAAATGTCATACCATAAGGGATCATGTATCCAGAATAAAGAACTCTCACAAATCAACATTAGCACAGGACACCCAATTAAAGGAAGCGCCAATGACCCTGGACAGACACACACAGACAGCCAATCTGAGACAACTATAGGTCTAGTAATAATTAATGTCGTTTTCTAATACCTTTTTTAAATCGAATTTATTTAAACAATACAACAAAATTTAATCAACAATATAGTTGCCGTTGTTTTCTACTACTTGTGCCCAACGCTCAGGAAGCATTTTAATCCCTCTGTTGTAAAATTCTTGTGATTTTGATGCAAAAAATTCGGTCAATGCATTTTTGAGGCATTCTTCATTATTAAATTTTTTTCCAAGAAGAAAGTTTTGCAAAGAACGAAACAAATGGTAATCGGAAGGGGCAATATCAGGAGAATATGCAGGTTGAGGGAGAACTTCCCATTCCAACTGGCGCAGTTTTTCAGCAGTGATTCTTGCAGTATGCGGTCGTGCGTTATCGTGGTGAAGAATTACGCCCTTCCGATTAATCAGCGCGGGTTCTTTTTCTCTTAAAGCTTGGGCTAACCTTTCTAATTGGGCACTATACACTGCACTTGTAATGGTTTGGTTAGATGGTAAAAGTTCATAATGAAGAATTCCTTTAAAATTCCACCAAACACACAACATCACTTTTTTCGCATGCAAGTCAGGTTTTGGCGTGGGCTGCGGAGCCTCATTTTTGTCCAACCATTGAGGCCACCTTTTCAAATTAACATACAGCACCCATTTTTCATCTCCGGTAACAATTTGCTCTAAAAACGGCAAACGGTTTTGACGAGAGAGGAGCGAACTGCAAATTGTGACTCTTTGATTACGGTGGTTGTCGGTCAACTCATGAGGAACCCATTTTCCAAACTTTTGGACTTTGCCAAGTGCACGCAATTGATTGGAAATTGTTTTTTGTGAACAATTTAAAGTTGTCGCAAGCTCTTGTTGGGTAATTTGAGGATTTTGCACCAAAAGAGCTTGAAGAGCTTCTTGATCAAAATTGGACACACGGCCTCGACCACTCTTGTCATCTAACGAAAAATTTCCCTCATGAAATTTCTCAAACCAACGCTGGCATTTTCTGGCGCTAACTGCATCTTGACCAAGAGCACTACAGATGTTTTTTGCAGCCTCACTTGCTTTTCTTCCTAATTGGAACTCGTAAAGCATGCAGTGCCGAATATGCTCTTCATCCGCCATCTTCTTAGCCCTAGTTTTGCAACAAAAACCAAACCAAACACAAACTTTTTCAAGCAAAACTTGTTAATTGCACTTCACACGTTCTGTAGATACCACGTGTTTGAAGGTTATGTCAATACAAGTCAACGCCAAGCAAGATTTTAAACGAATGTTTAAAAACGACATTAATCATTACTAGACCTGATAGTTGTCAGGGAGATGAAAGTCAGGACCATGGTGAGGCACCACTTGACACCCATAAGAGAGGAATTTACATTAAGAACAAAATCAGACAAATACAAGTGCTGGTGAGAATGTGGGAGAACGCAAGCCTGAGTGCACAGCTAGTGGAAATGTACAATGGAGTGGCCATTGTGGAAAACAATGAGGATGGCAGTTCCTGAAAAAATTAAATATAGAATGACCACGTGACTATTTGGTACACCCGTTTGGTGTGGCTAGTGGTGGTGTCAACCTATGAACCAGAGGGTCACAGTTCAATTTGCCATCAGGCACAGGCCTGGGTTGTAGGCTCAATCCCCAGTGGGAGAGGCATGCAGGAGGCAGCCAATCAATTGGCTGTTTTTATCGCTCTCCCTCTCCTTTCCTCTCTGAAATTAATAAAAATACATTTACATATCTAACTAATTCTACTTAGTATGAGGAAAATTGAGACAGAAAAACATATATGACAGTTCACAGCGGCACCATTCACAACAGCTAAAAACTGGAAGCAATTCTAGTGTCCATGGACAGAGAAATGGACAATCAAAATATGGTCCATCCACACTGGATTATTCAGCCTTAAAAAGGAAGGACAATCTGACACCTGCTAAAACATGGATGAACCTTGAGGACAGTACACTGATTCCTAGAGAAGTAAGATTTATGGAGACAGAAAGTAGATGGCGGCTGCCAAGGGCTGGGGGAGGGAGAGACTATGGGGGATGATGGTTAAGGTCCCTTTTACCCCCCAACATTAGGCAAGTGGAAGCTGCCTGTCCCTGGGTCACACATGACCACAAGGGCCTGTCCTTCAGAAGCCGGCTGGTGTACGCCTCCCAAGGGGGCAGTGCCTGGCCTTCCCTGCCCTCACCTGGTGCTGCCTTGCTCATCCTCAGAGCCCGGCTCCTCATCGGAGGTCAGCGGGGAGTAGTGGACCCCATTGGGCTGGCTCAGGGGCTTCTCCTTCTTGAGCACGGGGGGCTGGTCGTTGTCCTGGTATGGTGCAGGGGAGCTCTTCAGGGAGCTCTCGGGGGACGAGATGGCTGTGATCTCCAAAGGCTGGTTAATGTTGTTGACCTGAGGGACCAGCACAGACACAGCACAACTCTGTCAATGGGCTCCCACAGCACCGACCCCAATGGCTTTGCTGATCCCTCCTGCCTAAGCTACCCCGGGCATGGAGTCTGCCAGCTGTTCCCTTCCAGCCTGGGCTCCTGCCCCAGCTGTCTCGGCTACTCCCGGGAACAAGAGCCCCAACGTCCAGATGCCTGCTTGTCTACTTCCCCAGACAGTTGTTCTTGGCCTCACCATGGAGTTCAGGTTGAGGGGAGAACCTGAAGACTGAGTGAAGAGGCCGGCGACGGTTGGCAAGGCCCGGCGCTTGGGGGATACGCCTGAGCTCAGACTGGGGGTCCCCGCTGATGCCCGCTTCCTTCTGCCCCGTTTTCGACTGTCCTGCCCGTGGCTCTGACTGCTGTCTCCACGAGCACCCCCAGGCAGAGGGCTGTGCTTGTTGGAAGGTGACTGCTTGGTGCTGCTGGCACCAGCTGAGATGGTGAAGATAATCCTCCTCTTGGCCTCGCTCTCTGGATCTGAGAAGCCAACCTCAGAGGGAAGGTCCCCTTTGCTTGCATCAGGGAGTGGGCCCTGGGTGGCACTGAGTCGTGGGCTGACACAGAGCTGGTGAGAGGGCGAGGCAGGACCAGAGTTCCGGGGCTGCACAAGCAGCTGAGGATGCTGTGGGGTGGAGCTGCGGGAGCCCATGGTGGCGAAGAGGCTCCCCGAGCTGGAGGACTCATCGAAGACAGGGGGCTCAACTCCAGGAGCGAGTGGGGCCGGGCTCCCTGCCAGGGCCCCACTGATGGCGACGGAGCCTGCATAGAAGCCTGCCAGGAAGAGAAACAGTGCTTCAGGGAAGCTCTTCCCAGGAGAGGTTGGTACTGCTCCAGGTGAAGCTGGTAAGGACACTAAGCCCCGAAGATGCACCCTCCATGTCGTGGATGCCCCCATAGATGGCACCAAGGGACTAGGCAGGCACCCTTGGGCTGGCACAAGGGCAGGTGAGAGTGCTCAGGCGTGATGAGCTCCTTCCCATGTTTGGATTTGGCATCACTGGAGGCCGTGGAGCCTGTGTACCACTCCCACCCTGAGCCCTCTCTCGGCACCTCCTCTAGGGGCCCAGAAACCCTTGTGATATCCAACTGAGACAGAATTTGTCCTTTGCCTAGAACTCATCATGCTGCCAGCTGCAAAGTATCCCCCGATTGGAGTAGTGGGATGCAGGGAGCCTAGTGCCATGGTCGGCAAACTGCGGCTCACGAGCCACATGCGGCTCTTTGGCCCCGTGTATGGCTCTTCCACAAAAATACCACGGCCTGGGTGAGTCTATTTTGAAGAAATGGCATTAGAAGTTTAAAAAATTTGGCTCTCAAAAGAAATTTCAACCGTTGTACTGTTGATATTTGGCTCTGTTGACTAAGTTTGCTGACCACTGGCCTAGGGAAGGACTGCTCTCAGTAATGGCCTCTGCATTTTAATATATTTTTTAATTTAAAAAAAATGATTTTTAAGCATGATGAATGGAGAGAGATGTTGATTCTTATGTATGCTGACGGGGGATTGAACCTACAACCTTGGTGTATGGAGACAATGATCTAATCAACTGAGCTACCTGGCCAGGGCTGAATTTTATTCTTTATGTCTAGAAAAATAATTTCCAAACAGGCCATGGTGTTCACAAAAGTCAGCAAACTACAGCCCAGCCATGGTCTGGCGATTTGGTTGCCAAGCTTTGCTATAGTAGTTTTACTGGCACATGCCCACCACGTGTTCACCGACTTGCACAACTGGAGCTGAACAGCTGTGACAGAGCTTCTTGGCATCAGAGCCACAATTCCCCCCACCGCAGGCCCTGTGTCAACACATGGAAGTGTCAAAAATTCGAGCTCTCTGAAGATCAGAGTCCAGCTAGAAACTGGGTGGTCCCAGAGCCCACAGTGGTTTGACAAGGACAATGCCACCACACTACTCAAGCACATCCTATCAGGTGCCCGCCAAAGGTTCCGGTAATGCACGGAGGGCCCACTCTAGTGTCCCCGATCCCCAGGTCTCACTGTGCTGCTGCTGTTGCTAAGGAGGACAACAGTCTGGACTCAGCACAGACCCCATGGCTGAAGGAGATAAGCTCTAAGCCTGGCATCTCTGAAGGCCTCACTATAGACACTGTTCACAACTCACACACCCAGCACAGCCCCTGGAAGGTGGCAGTGGGCACAGGTGGAAGGTGACCTATGGAAACAGGGCAGAAATAGGAGAAGCAACCTACCTGCAGGCGCCAGGGTGAGGCTTTTGCTCCCAACAGCGTTGCTCCCAGCACCATGGGCATTAGTACCCATCTGCTTTTCAAGTGTGGACGAGGACTCTCGGGTCTGATGCACAGGACTGGGGGTGCTTCTCTGTTGAGAGAATGCGCTGTCAGCTGAGCTGGGCTTGGCATGTGAATGTCAGGGAGGGGGTCAACAGGTCACAGAACATGCCGAGGACATGAAATAGGGAGAATAGCAGGTGTGTGAAAAGCAGCTTGAAGGGAAAGTGACCTGCTCAGGGTGTGAGCACAGTGGGCAGCCACCAGAAGGGTCTGATCAGGGGTGGGACAGATGTCTGACTTGGGTCCTAAAGGATCATTCTGGCTAATGAGCTCAGAATGGGGATGAAGGGTATAGGGAAAGCAGTGAGGGCTGCAGCAGCAATTATGATCTGACCCAGCAATTTATCTTCTATGTGCAAGGAGATGAAAACACTTGTCTACACAAAACCTGTACACAACTGTTCACAGTGGCCAAAAACTGGAAACAAAAAAATGTCCATTGATAAATGAAACAATACCCAAATGTGTCCACTCACACACAAGAGTATTACTCAGCCACGAAAAGGAGAGAAGCACTGACACTTGCTACAATATGGATGAATCTATAAACTGGAACTTCAATGAGAAATGCCAAACATAAAAGGCACACAGTGTGTGTGATTCCATTTATGTGAAATGTCCAGAAGTGTGAGTTTGTGGTTGTCAGAGATGGGGATGGTCACACACATGACTATGGATGTGGGTGGGACTTCCTTTGGGAGGTGCCAAAACATTCTGGAACTAGAGGTGATGGTTGTCAGCCCTGTGAACATACTAAATGTCACTGAAACACACGTTTAGATGGTGAATTGTATGTGGATTATAACTGGGGAGGGGGATGGGGAAGCCTGCATTATATAGAGTCCATAAGCGTGAGGCAAAGGGAATGCAGGTATGGACTGAAGAGGATGTTTCAAGCTTCTACCACATTGGGCATTTGTGTAGACAAGTGTTCTATTCCTTCTCCACCTGCACACACCATCATTTACAAAAAAGGATGTGAGATAAAAATGACAAGATGTGAAAGAAAAGTACCACATGATCTCACTCATTTGTGGACAATAAAGAACATTATAGGCCAAGACCAGTTTGGCTCAGTGGATAGAGCGTCGGCCTGTGGACTGAAAGGTCACAGGTTCAATTCCGGTCAAGGGCATGTATCTTGGTTGCGGGCACATCCCAGTAGGGGGTGTGCAGGAGGCAGCTGATCTATGGCTCTTTCACATTGATGTTTCTAACTCTCTATCCCTCTCTCTTCCTCTCTGTAAAAAATCAATAATAATAAAAAGAACATTATAAACTGATGAACAAAAAGATAGATACAGAGGCAGTAAAGCATCAAACAGACTAACAAATTATAGCGGGAATATTAGGGAGAGTTGGGGGAGATAAGAGATCATCAATGGAAAAAATATCCTTGGATGAAGATTAAAAGACAACGAAAAACCCCATAAGATATTAATGTAATTAAACCTGGATTCTTGGATGCTCTATTTTTCTCAAACTTCAATTGCATGCAATTTAACAAAAAAGGAACCAGACAAAAGTGGTGGGACGAACGCCAGACAAAAGTCTCTTGTTCCTGTGCTGATATTTTCTGAGCAACACAGCAATGGACTGCCCCCGCCCCCCATGGTGCCCACTCACTACCTTCTCGGCACGGCTGGGCAACACCACGCTGGCCAGGGGGATGCTGACGGGCAGCTTGCTGGGCTGCACAGTGCTGAGTGGAATGCTGACGGGTAGGCTGGTGATGGCCTCCCCACTGCTGGCATAGGCTCGCTCCTTCAGACCCTGCAGACACAGCAGACTACCTGCTGCTGCTGACCCGTGAACCCCAGGCCACGAGCACCACCCGAAGAGCACAACTACCCTCTAGCCATGGACAAGGGGACTGCTGTAGCAGACAGTCCCCTCATCCCACTAACACCTATCCCTCTAACTCCAACCGCTTCTCCTGACCTTCCAGGCCCTTACCCATCACTAGGTCCTCACACTTTGACCTAATGTTTTTCAAACTTGCCACCTGAACAGAGACAGAGCTGCCCTCTGGCAATGCCACTCTAAGGGGGCTCTACTATCTTGCCACTTTTTTAGTCTTGTTCATAAAGATGTGAAGCAACTGAGGGTGGGGACCTGATTAACAAAGCCCTATCCCTCCACCCCCAACCCTCATTCTCCTGTTCCACAGCCCCCACCTGGATGCCCTCTCTAACAGACCCACTCAGGATACCCACTGAGTGCCCCCCATAGCCTTGGCTCAGTCACAGGTCAGTCACCCACCCCAAGGGTCCCTCCCTCCCAGTGATTGCCTGTACCTTCTCACTGCCTTTGTCTCCTGTCATCTGTAAGGCCGCAGGGGATGAGGGCCGATGGTCCTGAGGGCTCAGCTTGATGCCATTGGCGAGGCCTGGGCTCTGGTATGGAAGGCCATTCTCCTTGGCGTGCTCAGTTCTGGAATGAAACACATACCAGTCACTCTCTGTGGAGACCCAGTGGCTGTGGCTTTGTGTTCAGAGCTGACAGCCTGGGCCCAACAAACACTTACAAACTGATGAGCAACCCCTCTCAAGACCCCACAACAGTCCAAGAGCGCCAGGGCAGACTCACCGTGGGTGTAGCTCACCAGCAGATGTCTTGCCACTGGCAGTGTGGTCCTGGCTCAGGTGGCGTCTTAGCACCAGCTTTGCCGGGGAGAGCCTGGTGTAGTCTGGCAAGGCCAAGCCAGACAGCTTCTCAAGCCGAGGCCGGCTGCCATGGCTGGGAGTGCATGGCACAACCTCCTGGTCCAGTGGAGAGGCCAGGTACTGGGGGGTGTTCTGCTTGGACGAGGGCCGGCTCAGTGTGTTGCAGAGCTCATAGCCAGCCGCATGGCCATTCATGGAGAGCTCCGGGCTCATGCTATTGAAGTGGGGCAGTGAGAATTTGGAGCAGTCCAGCTCAAGGTGCAGCCGGCTGGGTTCCGCCTCCAGCTCTCGGCCCAGGCCACCTTTGCCTCGTAGGTGCAGGGACATAGCTTCATCAGGCGGCACGCAGGACTTGAGCTGCAGGAGCTCCTGCTGCCGCTGGCTTTTTTCCAGCTCCACGATGCTAATCTGGAAGATCGAGGGTGTCAAACACTCAGCTTGCTTGTGGGGGAGGTTCCTGCACAACCGTCGAAGGCCCCAGACAGAGGCCAGCCCAGCCCAACCCAGCAAAGTGAGAATGATGCCCACCCAGAGTAACTACAAGGAGGCAGACTGACTTGGTGTGTCAAGAGGACCCAGAGCAGCCAACCACCCAAACTGGTCAGGGCACTCAGGGTAGGCAGATAAAACAGCACGTGAGTGTTAAAAGTGGTTCTGCAGATGCACATCTGCTGAAACTAAAAGACGTCCACAGGAAAGCAAGGAACAGAGGTTGTAGTGCTCTCGTGAGTATTCAACATTGGAAAAACCCTGAAATAGCACTTCCTTCCAGGGGTCAGACACAGAATTTAAAAAAAACATGGTTTTTAGAGATAGAAACATTGATAAGAGAGAAACACCATCATTCGGCTACCTTCTGCATACTCCCTACTGGGGAGTGAGCCCACAGCTCAGGATATGCCCTGACTGAGACCTCTTGGTTCCTGGGTTAATGCTCAACTGGTGAGCCACACCTGCCAGGCCACAGGGCACCTTTTCCCCGTACACTATGTTTGGGCTTTTCCTCTATATGAACATGTATCATTTCTTTATTACACAGAAGAGTCAGAAACCAAATATATTCCCTGTGGAGACTTCTCCTGCAGGCACACCCATGGAAACAAGACCTGGCTTTTGTAACATCAGCAAACCTTTCTGTTGTTAATCCATACCCAGTTTTTTCCTATTTTTTTTTTTTTTAAACAAAGGTGGAGATTTATTGAAGAACAAGTACAGACACACTCCCACATGGGAAGAGGGAAAGAGTCCCACAAAATGGACTCTCACATGGAGAGGGGGAAAGGGTGCCTTTTCCATTGATTTTTAAAGAGAGTGGAAGGGAGAGGGAGAGACAGAAAGAAACATCAATGTAAGACACACTGATTGGTTGCCTCCCACACTGGGAATGTCTGGGCCCCCTCAAAAGGGTATCGAACCTGCAACCAAAGTATGTGCCCTTGATTGGCACTGAACAGGAGACTTCGGATGCTCTAACCACTGAGCTACCGCTAGAGACAAGCCTCTTTCGATGACACACACTGCTGGTGTGATGGACAAGAGACACCTGGGCCATGTATCACATGACCTTAAACTGCTCCCAGATCTATTTTGGGGACTATGTCTTTACAGAAATATCCTTAAGATGAGTCATAGTGCAGAAAAATTAATTGCATTTTCACTTTACAATAAACCACTTAAAAGAGCCCCAAGGGCATGTGGAGGTATTATTGATATGAGAAAATGCTAAGTAACTGATTTACTATCTGAAAAGGGATTTACTATTGGGGAAATTGAGGGAAGAAGAGACTGAACATAAACTGCACCTATGGATGAGGACAATGGGGGATGGGGAGGGGGCAGAGGGTGGGGTGGGAACCTGGTGGAGGGAGGAAGAAGTGAGGAACCTTTGTAATAATATGAACAATAAAGATTGATAAAAAAAAAAAAAAAAAAAACCTCACCGGAAAAAAAAAAAAAAAAAAAAAAAGAGCCCCAAGGGTCTGGCAACCAGCAATGCTCTATGTTATGAAGCTGAGCTGAGTAAATGCAGTAGAACCTCTGTATACAGGGAGCTTTCATAATGACCAATGCTCATGCCTCAAGTCTCTCTTTATTGTCCTCATTGTTATTTGTAAGTTCTGTACTCAGGAACTTAGTCATAACCTGAGTTGTGCTTTCTCCTGCCCCAAACTTGTTTCTAGCTAACCTCGATGAATGAGTTACCCTATCAGAAAAAGCACAAGATGCCTGGCTGGTGTAGCTCAGTGACTGAGCATCGACCTATGAACCAGGATGTCACTGTTCGATTCCCAGTCAGGGCACATGCCCGGGTTGTGGGCTCGGTCCCCAGGGGGTACGCGTACAGGAGGCAGTTGATCAATGATTCTCCCTCATCACTGATGTTTCTATCTCTCTCGCTCTCCCTTCCTCTCTGAAATCAATAAAAGTGTATTTTTAAAAAACGGGTGTGTGTGTGTGGGGGGGGCGGGGAGTACAAGCTCTTTTGTTTTAATGTGCAAAGGTCTGTTCAGTAACTGTCAGAAATGCTTCACCAGGAGGCGCCCACACACACATTCAGATGAGATGCCCTAGGGTAGGTAGAGTGGGGTGCCCACCTGCCCTACTTCTTGTTCCCCTTTAGGCTGACGATGGGAAGTGAGGCTGTTCCTAATGTGATACCAGAACTAGTACATTGTTTTTGGGAGGAGGATGGGTTTGGCGGGTCTGCTAATAACACTGACCACGTTCCTAACACCGCAGTTGAAGTCCAGAGAGGCCAAGGTAACCCCATTCCTTGCCCCCCTACCTGCAGCTCCAGGCAGTGCCTCTGTTTCTCGGAGATCTGGCTCTTCAGGGCCTGCTTCTCCTTTAGCAGGTTCTCCAGGGACAGTGTGGACCAGTCCAACTTCAGCTCCTCACACCGAGCCTTCAGCTGTGGGGACAAGGCAGTCCCGGCCATGAGCATGTGCGTGGCTGTAGGGAGGACAGGACGGCCCCCTGGGACCTGCTTCCCGCCCTGACACTGGGCTCTGGGAGGAGACAGGGCAGGTTTCTAGCAGGTATCCCTGGGGGCCAGTCCTTTACCCCCTCCTGCTTTTAGAAGGCCAGGCTGCAGAGACAGCCAGAGGAGACTAGGGTTTCCATAAGAAATACCCACAGGAGTATAGTGAAGGGTCTCCTGGGATAAAGCAAAGGGACCCATTATAAGGGAGGCCCTGCACATCCAGGGGAACCTCAGGAGGGAGGACTGGGAAAGTTCAGGCCACCTCAAAAGGCCTATCTAGTTCCTGCACAGTGTGGTTCAAATGATTGGAGCACCATCCATACTCTGAAAGGTAGTGTTCAATTCCTGGTCAGGCAACCGATTAATGCTTCTCACTCTTTTTTCTTTATAGCAAAGGTAGAAATTTATTGAAGAACAAGTACAGACTCCCATGTGGAAAAGAATCTTATAGCGTAGACAACCACTGGGGGAGGGGGAAAGAGTCCCCAATGCTTCTCTCCTAAATCAATGTTTCTCTCTCTCTTTCTAAAATCAATGAAAACTGCTGAAACCAGTTTGGCTCAGTGGTAGAGCATCGACCTGCGGACTGAAAGGTCCCGGGTTCGATTCCAGTCAAGGGCATGTACCTTGGTTGCGGGCGCATCCCTGGTGAGGGGTGTGCAAGAGGCAGCTGGTCGATGTTTCTCTCTCATTGACGTTTCTAGCTCTCTATCTCTCTCCCTTCCTCTCTATAAAAAATCAATAAAGTATATTTTTTAAAATTTTTTTAAATAAAAAAAATAAATAAAATCAATGAGAACTATATACTTGGGTGAGGATTAAAAAAAAAAAGGTCCCATCTAGTAAAATCATGAGTCTTCGACCGCCCCTGACAGGAATTTAAGAAGCCACATTCAGCGGCAAGTTCAGCTCATGCTCACGTGCTCTGAGAGCCTAGAAAAGCTGTGCCAGCATTTCTACAACGAACTAGGTCAGAGACATGGGGAGGACCCTGGTCTAAGGACCCGGACTAAGGCAATCATGGAAACTCGGGACCATGTGCTGGGGCCCCACAGGCAACCTCAGGTTATCTGTCTTGGGTCACACGTGAGCACCTGGGCATCCAGACCCATCAACCGAGGGAAACCTGGCCCTCCTCCTGGTCTGAGGTCTAAGGATTCTGCTCGCTGTGGAATGTGCTGGAACTGATGCCTGCTCTGGGCACGTACCAGCTGCAGGCTCTGGCTTCTCAGCTCCCTGTTGTCCTTCTCCAGCTGCTCCGTCTGCTCTCGCAGCTGCTGGTTGTGAGCGGAGATCTCTTTCTGAGCTTGGATCAGGTCACTGTAGGTCAGCGCCTTCACTCCCAACTGTAGACATATAATAGCAAGGCTGGGTTTGCAGGGAGATGCCACCATGGTGGAGAGGGGAGAGGAGGGGATTGGCTTTCACCCAGGCAACACCAGGGTGGCACTGTACTAGTCATAGACAGGAGAGACTAAGTAGAGTCCCCCAGAGAGGGGAACAAGGGGGTGACCTCAAGACACAAGTCTGTGCAGGCACCATGAGGGGCTGCTGGGAGCAGCCTTGTGACCAGAGCCCAAGTTCTAGACTCCCAGAAAAAAACACCAGAAAGGAACAGTCCTTCTGTAGCTCAACTGTCCTGAGCTGTCCCCCCGCCCAGCCCCTGCCCACCCCTCAATTCTGTACTTGGGTCATCCTGGCTTCAGGTAGCTCTACCTCATCCAGTTTCTGCTGAAAAAGCTTCTTTATTTCTTCTTTCTGGGCCTGGCAGTGACCAAACAGCTGCTGTGCGGCACCCAGCAACCGGGCATTCTTCTCCTGCAGGGGACAGAGGGCTGGTGAGTGAGCCCAGCCCACACCATCTCTCCCCTCAGACAGGCTCCGCGGAGCAGTGCTGATGGGACACTGCTCAGCCCATCTCATCGACAAAGACCACTGTCCATTCCCCAAAGTGCAAGAGCTGCCACCTCCCTATGCTCACAAGTGGCAACACATGCATACAGTGGGAGCATGCACACACAACACGCCAGCTGGTCCTCCATCTGAGACTTTATCGGAAGGTGGTACCAACTCAGTGGCTCTGAATTACTAACTGGGGGTGACAGACACCTCTAAGCACGGGCAGCAACAGGCCCTCTGGGCAGGGACAAGGGGACGTGCCAGGAAGCAAGGCATGTTCTGGGCAGGCTGGGGGCTTGCCTGGCTCACCCCTCTGCAGAGTGTTGGGAACACAAAAGCAGGCACCCCTCACCTTCTCCTGGTCCAGCAGCTGCTGCAGGCTGGCCTTGTACTGAGGGGTCTTCGTGTACGCCAGGAACTGCAGATACTGAATCTTGAAGGACTCTAGGAGAAGTGGGGACAAGGTCTCGGTACAGAAGCCATCCAGCTGACTGGAGGCTGTGGTGGTAGGGGACGTGTGGTGGCACTCATGTCTCTGAAAGCTCCCCCAGCCCTGTTGTCAGATGCTGCTGAAAATCACCTGTCACTGTGCCAACACCTTTGGTTCTGCACTGCCTTGTCACCCACCACTCACTTGCACCTATGGCTAGTGTTCCCTGGAGCCCTTTGCAGTTCCTGCCATCAGCAGCACACTTTCTCACTCCTCAAGACGGCGGGTTTCTTTGACCAAATTTCCCAGTAAACTCATGCTGTCGAAGTGTGGAAACTGATGGCTCCCACAATTCAAAGGCATTTCCTTCACTCGGTATTTATTTATTTATTTACTTTCTTTCTTTCTTTTCTTTTTTCCCCCCACTCAGTTTTTAAAAGAGATGAAAAGCTTATTTGTCAAGCACCGCAAGGTGAGCAGGTGCCTGCTCCCTCACAGCCCCAGCTTATCCCTGACAGGCCCTTCCCACACTCTAAGAACTATGGGGTGTCCAGGGTACTGTGGGGGAAGTGAGCAGCATCCTTGTTCCCCACTCTATACAGGAGCACCCCAATTAACCACAGATGTCCCCAGACATAGCCCAGTGTCCCAGCGGGGCAGAGCTTCAGCCCAAGAAAACCACACGGGTTCTGCTGGCCTAAAAGCCCAGGCACCACCTGGCAGGACTGACCCTGAGCCCTCGGGACTCTAGTGGGGTCAGCTTGCCACAGGTATCACAGGGGCTTGCCAGAGAGGAAGAACCTCGGACCCTGCCCCTTCCTCTCAGAGCTGTTAAGTCAGAATCTGCACATGACCGCACAGTGTTTGCAGCGCTAGCTTACCTAGCAGCTTCTGTAGTCCAGGCGGGGTGGGTGCCAGCAACAGCTGGTCAGGGGGGTGCCGTTGCACGCTGGGAGGTAGCTGATAAAATGGGCTGTGAGGTGACTTGTATGCATCTGCAGGAAATAGCAACAACAGCAACATTTACGTGTCAACACTGACTGGAATGCCCTCCCAGGGAATTCCAGATTGTTCTATGGAACTTTTCGAGCCTTTTAAAACACACACACACACACACACACACACACACACACACACATATATATATATATATATATATATATATATATATATATATTTTTTTTTTTATTAATTTCAGAGACGGAGAGAAAGATAGAAACATCAATGAGAAAGATTCAATGATGAGCTGCCTCCTGCACACCCCTCACTGGGGATAAAGCCTGCAACCTGGGCATTAACCCTGACCAAGAACTGAACTGTGATTTTCTAGTTCATCGGTCAATGCTCAATCATTGAGTCATACTACCCAGGCTTTTCCAGTATTTTAAAATACTGTACTCAGGCTGAAACCGGTTTGGCTCAGTGGATAGAGCGTCAGCCTGCGGACTGGAAGGTCCCGGGTTCGATTCTGGTCAAGGGCATGTACATTGGTTGTGGGCACATCCCCAGTAGGGGGTGTGCAAGAGGCAGCTGATGGATGATTCTCACTCATCGATGTTTCTAACTCTCTATCCCTCTCTCTTCCTCTCTGTAAAAAAATCAATAAAATATATTAAAAAAAAAAAAAAATACTGTACTCAGCACAGCTCCTACAGTTCAAAGACATGACCAGATACCGCATCTCAGCAGTTCCAGAAGCGGAGACAAATGCCATCATAATCTAAGAAACTTCTGTGAGCAGTGCTCTTTCTGCCATAGCTGCTGATGTTATCAAAGCCCGGGATGGCAGGATGTGATGGAAAAGCCCCACCAGGATTTGCTCTTGGCAGGCTATCTGCGTGAAGCGAGGCCCGGGTGAATCCTGCGGACATCATGAGGTCCCTCTGGAGCATGACCCAGAGAGCCTGAGCGGCCCTAAGGAGGGCTCTGAGGCCTGGCTCACCTTGTGGCGAGGGCGTCGCTGCCTGGGACACAGTCTGGGTGTGCAGGAGGTCCAGTGCAGTAGGGTTCTTCTTGGGCTTACGCTCGGGGTTCGCAGTGCTCATCTTCTTGGGCCGTCCGCGCTTCCGGCCAGCCAGCTTCCGGCCCTTCTTGTTCAGCTTCTTCTTCCGAGCTTTGGAGGGCGATGGCTTCTTGATAGCGGTGGTCGCTGCTTTCTCTTCCTCAGCACCAGAATCCTAGTGGACAGAGTCACTGAGAGAGCAATGCTCCCACCCCTCCTCCCATTAATAATGAGCCCACAACACAGTTCTCTGGGAGAGCAGCTGAACAGAGGCACCTGAAACCCAGGAACCCCCTTTCCTCCTCCAGCCCAGTGATCAGTCAACCAACCTGTGCACCGACCAGGACCATCCCTCTGGCTGGAAGAGCCCAGCCCCACCCTGTATAATGAGGGCCGTGCCCATAATAGCCCTGTGGGGCCCCAAGCCCTAGAGAAGGGATTGGGGGCACTTACCACAGAGGTGTCCGCAGGCACAGCCGCCTTGCTCTCAGGCACCTTCGTGGGGGTGGTTGTATTACTCTTGTTTTCTCGCTGCTGCCGGCGCCTAGCTGCCTCTTGTTCCTCCTGGAAAACAAGTGTCGGACATGTCCTCCAAAGTGTCAGCATGTCCCCCAAAAGAGCCACCGAGGTGGGCTACCTGTCCCAGCTCCGCTCAGCCCAACTCCTCTGCCTGCTGTAAAGAAGAGGAAAATAAGGCAGAGAGAAGCACGTGAGCCGTACCGAGCCTTTAGCCAGCCCTGAGCCATGTGTGTATCTTTGCCTGGTGCAGATATCCCTAGACCTCTCAGTCAGAAACCCATGTGACGTGTGTGAGGAAATGAAATCAAAGATAAAAAGCTGTCTGAAAGTCCTCTCCTTCCGGGGAGCTCAGGGACCCCCACTGAAGTGCATCCCTCCAAAGTGAGGGTCACTGAGAAGGCTGTAGGAAAAGGAAAGAGGATGGTGCTGGCTGGCTTAGCTTGTTCTTTGCGCTGGGGGTAGGTAACCCAATTAAGGCCCAGATACCCCAAGTATGGCAGGAACAGCACAGGACTCTAGGTCATGGGGACTTCTTCCTGCTCAGATGCTTGTCTGAGTCTCCAGAAACAATGACATTTGGACAGATGTACCCTGAGGTCCGAAGGAGGCAGTTTGAGGACTGGGCATTGCAGGGACACTGGGACTGGCAGTAGAACCACCATGTCAGACTCTAGGCCACTCCCCTCTAGCAAGTGTGATGCACCACTTAGAAGCAGTTGTCTGTTTAGAAAGAGGAACATCTTGTGTTCTAGACGTGGTGGGTCAGTGTGGCTCGAGCACCTCCCTCAGACCTGCACTTGGCACATTTCATAACATTGTCCAAAGGTTGAGATTCATCCAACCTAGGTTCCAAAAGACTGCTGACAGAAAGTGTGGCCCCAAGGGACCATGACCCCCGTCCCCAACCAGCACTCCCCATCCACTACTTGGAGTTCCGTCAAGTTCATCAAGCAGCATACCAGTGATATTCAATGAGGGAAACACACACTTACCCTGAGTTTTGGATTTTTCAGACTAGAAAAATAGTTTTCAAGCTAAAAATGAAAAAAGAAAGAAGTCTTATTAGACATCAGTCCCAAACCTGTCAGGACAAGAGCAACACCTGAGACACGCCAACATGAAATGTTGTTGGAGCTGTCACAGGGATACACCTCTGCTCAGACCCACCCTGAACACAGGTTTCCTCTCAGGGGTTGTGCAGACCCGCAGGGCCATCTCACATGAAGCAAGCTGGGTGGGAACCAGGCTGCCCAGTACGGGGGCTCCCTGGACACCAGAAACCTGTGACACTGAGGCCAAATCCATTATTAGTACATCATTCGGGACAATGTGTGCCTCATACAAGGACTGGGAGCAAAGAGGGAAGACAAAGAGTTCCTGGTTTCCACTCATGCTACTGTGTCTCAGATACTCCAGGGAGAGTGCCATGGGGAGGCGGGAGGGAAGGGGAAGAGGCTTTCTGGGAGGGCCTGGCCTCACTCACGGGGACACTTACTATGGTGCGGTCGATGGTGTGCAGGTAGTAGGAGACGGGCTTCCCCGTCCACGACACTGAGCCCTTCAGGGGCGAGAGCTCCACGACGCGCATGATGGTGCCGATGTCTGCAACGACGGGCACAGGTTAGGGCCTTGTGCACCTGGGGGAATGACTCAGGCGAGGCAGGAAGGGAGCAGAACCGCGCGCCCTCATCACGTGAGGCCGTCCCACTCGCCAGGCCGGTGAGGTGCCTGGATATCGGCACGCTGGCAGGTCAGGGAGGCGCACGGCGTGCACAATGTTCCCCGCTAACCCAGGTGCTTGTCCAAGGAAAACGGCAACGAGCCTGACTGGGTGGGATGGAAAAGCACTTGAGGACCACTTGGAAAGAACACGGCTACTAAGATGCCCAGCACCCGAGAAATTATGACCCCAAGGCCAGCTGCCACAGAGCAACATGGCTCTTCCCCAGGCCAGAGGTTCAGCTCTTCCTGCTGAAGGTTTCTGCATCTGGAGCCCATCACACACACCAGCCATTTGCCCCTTAGGCCAATCAGATATGAAAGCAAGGAAGCTTGTAAACCACTGTGTCTTCATAACCTTGTGACAAACGTGTGGGGTCTCAACCTGGGTGGGTAATGTCTAGGGATATCTGTGGTGGTCAAGACAAGGGTGCTCCTGGCATCAAGTAGGTTCCCAGAAAGCTCCCACAGAGATGACCTGGCCCTAAAGTCCAGTAATCAAACCCTTTACTAACTTGTGTCAAATGCTTAAGATCATATATATGGCCTGGCCAGTGTGGCTCAATGGTTGAGTGTTGACCTATGAACCAGAAGGTCACTGTTTGATTCCTGGTCAGGGCACATGTCCAGGTTGTGGGCTCAATCCCCAATTGGGGGCATAGCCCATCAACGAGCCTCTCATCATTGGTTTCTACCTCTCTTCCCTTCTCCCTTCCTCTCTGAAATCAATTTAAAAGTAATAATAATAATTATTCTTATTATTTTAAATATATTTTTATTGATTTTGTACAGAGAGGAAGGGAGAGAGTTAGAAACATCGATGAGAGTCATCGATCAGCTGCCTCTTGCACCCCCCCCACTGGGGATATGCCTGCAACCAAGGTATATGCCCCTGACCGGAATCGAACCCAGGACCTTTCAGTCCCCAAGCCAACGCTCTATCCATTGAGCCAAACCGGTTTCGGCGATAGTTATTATTATTATTATTTTATTTATATATGAAATCATCTGAAGAATTTAGCAACATGAGAGTTTCTTACCACTCAAGTTTCTACTGTTTATTCTGAAGTTCAGAGGTGCAAAGGGCTTCGAGGACACAATTCTGCCACCTGAAACACAAAAGCTGATTATTGCCTTTCATGGGGAAAACCGTCATGCACGTAAGGGCAGGATGATGGAAGTCAGAGCAGGGGAGGCGAAGCCAAAGGAAGAAATGAGCACATAAGTAGCCAGGGACTGGGAGTCCTTTCCGTTTCCTACAAGTAAGAGCAAAATTAAGGTACGCTTAAGCCTGACCTACTAATGACCTTCCTGTAGAAACTTACCCAAGGCCTCCTGAAATCCCACCTGCATATATGTGTCCCATAACCCACACTTAATCTGAAACACCCTGATTTGTGTATCAGGTTAGGAACTGCCACACAGAAAATGCTAATGCCCCATGTTAGTGTGACTGTCACACCTGTCACCGTGAGCATATGTGAGTGGGGCTGCTCATGTTATGATTACAACAGCGTTCTACATGGACTGAAGAAAACACCAAAGTAAACATGTTAATGCTAAACTTTGCAGTGTCAAAAAAAGAATCAAATATAAAAGTCAAAGAAAATAATGTTTCATAAATCCATTTAAGACACTCTCACACACACACACACACCCCCATACACATGAACACAGCCCCATAACACCCCAATCAGAGAGCTCCCCAGTACTCAGTGTCCCTGAGCACCACCCCCACTAGAAAAAGGATGGATCCCAGGGCCAGCCTGGTGCAGGGCCAGGAGACCACGAGGGGCATTCACCATCATAGGAGCATCTCAGTGTGTGGGATACAATAAAATAAAACTCAGGGGTCCACAGACCGCTTTCATTGGGATGTGCCATCCTGCGATGCTCAGATGACTATTGTGCATGAGGGGACTTCTGAGGACAAGTCACTATAGGACAACAGATCCTAATGACTAGAGGGTTTAGCAGGCAATCCTGCCCCTGAGCCAGCCCATGTGTGACAACCAGGCATTGAGACCTGAAGGAAACGGGGCTCAGAGAGGCAAGGTCAAGCTCACCATAAGGGATGAGTCCAGAATGGATGACATCCCATAGGAAAATGAGCCCAGATAACTCATGGACACTGTCAAAAAAAGATGGAGGGGCCGTTTTCTAATAAAACTACACAACAGTCCAAGGCGCGAAGGCCACTTGTGACTATTGGCGGAATAGATGGGGAAAAACAAAGGAGAAGCTGGGAGAGTTCAAGGCAGGGTGGGACCCGAAGGCCACAGGAATCCCAGTCCTTTCCTCTCCTTGGGGTGCGAGGGAGGGGCCTGAAGACTCAGGAGACACCCTGTATGTGTGTGCAGGGTGCAGTGGACAGTGGCTGCTCACTCTTACAGTAATTAAAAACAACCATGCACACACATACACATGCTCATCTGTACACAGAATGGGATCACACATGCTCATACATCCACATGAAACTGGCAGTGCTGAAGGCAGATGAAAGTTATCTGTATCTATGACCTTTCCCCTCCCCAACCCAATGAGCTGCTATCTGACCTGGGATGGAGGAAAGGGAATCAGAGGGAAGTAGTAGGGTGGCTCTGGACAGGTGATGGTGGTTCCAAACATGAAAGGCCAATGCCCCAGTTAGGGTTGCCAGACAAACAGGGACATCATTCTGAATTTCAGATACACATGATATTCCTTTAGTAAAAGCTGGGACATCCTTACACTGAGAAGCTATTTGCTGTCTATAGGAAATGCACATTTAAACAGATAGCCTACGGTATATCTTACTTGCTAATCTGGCCACCCCCACCAAGTCCCTCAGGCTGGCTGAGCAGAGTGTGTATGGGATGTAGGTCTATTCCACTCCAAATTCTAAGCTGGGATGCACCCAGCTCGGCACCTCAGGTGACAGTGAGAGACACAGTGAAGGCATCCCACTGCCTGAAGCCTTCTGATTGGGACGGAAATGGATGGGTAGGAAAACTTAGAACTTTCACACCTGTAATCGGTCTCAAATCTAGCCAAACCAAGAGGGAGGCGATTCAAGAAGCACGGTGAGCTTGCTGCAGCCACATAAGGCGGGGTTAAGGGAGAAGTACGTTACCTTCCTTCATGTTTGCAAATCGCTCCTTCAGCTGGTGATCCACCTCAGGACCAAAGGCAAAGTTATTCACAAATATAACACTGCAAAATAATATTCCAGTTGAGTAAAATGAAGGTTCCATCTTCACATGTGTATACAGTGCCATTGCACATGCTACCTATTGCTTCCACTGCCAGCTCCATCGTGAGGCCTCCCCAGGCTCTGCCCACACCACTTCCACCCGGCCCAGGTAAGGGGCTCCAGCTGCCCAAGTTTGTTGCTAATGTACAATAATTTAGAAATTTCCATGAGCACCACATTGCTGGCCTCTCTGAAAAAACAAAAAACAAACCAACAAAAACCCCATAAGATGGACATGTGCAGGCCAAGGTGGCCCAGGTCAACCTGTTCTACATGGCTGGTGGTCCCTGCCTGCCCATGGACCTTTCTAGATGGAATGCAGGCAGCACAACTGTAACCTAGGGGTAGGGGTGTGAGGAGAACTAAATATCCAGGCAGGCAGGAAGCACGACTGAGTCAAGCTGCATCTGAACGTGACATCTAAGGACCCTTGGGACCAGAAGCAAAGCTCTTCCACGGGACAGTGTAACTCAGCCTAATTTTTTCAAATGGCCTCTGGCACCAGATGACCACAGGAACTTCGATCTGCAGATGGCTGCTGGGATGGCTGAGGAGACTGCTGCCTCGCCAGGAACAAGGTGTTCCCCTGACTGCTCCCTCACCACAGCCCGGACCTTGCCCATTTAGAGGAACTCTCTGAATGGCTAAATGCTAGAAACACCCGTGCAGTTAACGTGAAGACGCAAAGACAAGACAGACAGTTTCATACTTAAGAGTCACGTGGCTCTCCTCTCTGCTGCAAGTGCCTCCAGATTAAAACTGTGCCACGGCAGAAACTGGGCAGCAGAATTGTAGACATGGGTTCACTTCCTCTTTTGACCGTTACAGAAAATGAAGTGAGCTGACTGTCATCTCCATGCTGCTTGTTTTAATGAAGTCTCAAAAAAGCTTTAAAATCAAGAAATCTCAACCCTTTACAGCAAGCAGGTGAAGGAGCAGGTGAAGTAACTCTGTTACTTCACAAGTGCAAGAAAAGAGTGGCCGAAGGATACTGAAGGTATCAATGAAGGCCAGTACTCTCTCCCTGCGCCACCAGGCAGACTGAAACAGAAGACAGTAAGATTTAAAGTGGGATGGAGCCACCCCAGCTGCCGATGGGCAGAGCATGATGAGGACAGGTGAGCCGAGTTAGGCCATGGCCCTACTCAGGACAGAGCTTGGGAAGGCTGGACGTCAGAATCTCAAGGTGACCGAAGCCACAAGAGGGCAGAACCAAAAAGGCTTTGAAGGAACAGGCTCCAGACACTCTTGCGCTCTCACATTCAGACCTGAGAAAACCAGAAAACTAATTGAGGCAAGGGTCACACCTGACAACAAAAGAACTGGTGGGGAGGAGACACTGTAACAGAAAGCAGAGTACCTAGGGGACATCTAGGGGACACAGTCAGGGCCTGGCCTTGGGCCCTTGGTCACAGGACTGTCACAGGCCAAGCGGACGATGGGCAGAAGAGGAGCAGGGTGCAGTGTGCTCTCAGGAAGCTGTCACTGGGGTGCCCAGAAGACAGGACACTGCAGCCTGGATGCTGCTGGGCAGTGCGTGGTGAGTATGGGGTTCTCCTCACTGGGGAGGTCTCTCATTGCATTCAGACCCCGCTCAGCCCACCACAATGGCAGCACAGATCCTATTCCATGGGGATATCCACAAAGTCATCACAATTCTCTCAAGAAGATGAGGAGGACCTAGTCATTGTGGGACAGTGCGCACACAAGCGGCAAAAAAAAAAAAAAGATACTTCTATAAAAAGAGCAATGCTTAGTTCCTATTTGCTTCAAGAATCGCAGTGGGGGACACAGGGCAATGTATAGTAGGTGCACCCTGAAGAACAGGGAGAGAAGGACAAGACAGTAGGTCAGACTGAAAGCCTGTGATCCACACCTCACCAAGGCTGACCCACCACTCCCCAGGAAGAGCACTTGAGAGCATGCAATGTGGCCTCACAGATCACCATGGTCCTGGCTACCTCGGCTGATGCATAGAAGACCTTCACACTCCAACACTGCCTCCTGCTCACCCAACGAGACCCATCAAATCTGAAGCTATGCTAGAGGTGAGGGAAGAGCATAGCAATCCAGCCTGGCATATCTTACCCTCAGCCTGAGGCCAGCGGAAGGACAAAGGAAAAATAAGGAGAGAGGGTAGGGAAGAACTATAAACACAGCTACAGAAGCTGGTGGACATGACGGTCACACCTCAAGTCCTCGGCTGAAGGGTCTGCTGGAGCTGGGATGGTTCTGGGATGGCCTCTCAGACCAGGCAGGCAGACCTGCCAGCAAGCTCAGAAAGTTTCCTGCCAGGCTGTTCACACCCATACAACACTCCCCCCACAGCAAGCGCAAAGAAATAGCTCCCTCCACTAGTCAAGGAGTACAATGTCCACATGCTGACATAGTGAGAGCTGAGCTTAGGGCCAAGACCTCCAGGCAGTTTTCCCTCCCTGGCTGCAAAAGTAGGAGAGGGCCCTGAGAGTGACCCTTGGCAGCCTGAACCAGAAGGGAAGAAGAGAAGCCCCAATTGCCTCTGCCACCTAGCTTTGCTTGGAGAAAGGCAGCCACGCCAACCACACAGGGACCTGAGAAAGTGAGATCCCCTGGTGTGCCTTGCCCAGCTAGGCCACAACTCTGTGCTCACAGCGTTGAGTGGTTACTCCCAAACCCGCCATACCTTGTGTTGGCGATCCGCTCTCTCCATTCCTCCGAGAGGAAATCACCTCTTTCCAGCTGAAAGGAAGAAAACAGGGATAAGAGCTCATCACAGGTCTCTCTTGGCCCCTGAGCCAGCCTCCCACCTGGCGAGGAACAGATGAAATGAGCACAGTCACTAAAATGGGCAGACCTTGAGGAAAGAGGCATGGCTGCTGGCAGCTCCACAGGGAGGAGGAAACAGTTGGGGATAAGTAGAGACCACACACTGCAGTATGGGTCACCATGAGTCCTGGAGTGGGTAGCCTCACTAGTGCTAGAGCGCCCATCCCAGGGGGCCAATCCAAAGAGCAATGAAGACACTAGAGAAAAATGCCCAGAAGTCACAACGTCTTGTTCGTTCACGGCCAGCAGGGGGCGCTCCCAACACACGGCCTGCAGAGCCACAGAAGGTCTTTACTCCATCATAACGGAGTTGTTCTGGACAGAGGGTGGGTTGGCAAGGGCTACAAGACACCTGTACTGGGCACTCAGGGGAGTGTCCAGGACACAGACCACTGACCAGGAGAGACATGGCATAGGCTAAGCTTCTTGCTGTGACATGAAACACACCTGCTGTGGCTCTCCGACCTGCTTTACTTGAGAACAGTGCCGTTTGGAATTTCAAAACCTTATTTCAGCATTGCTTTTATTAGTGGACTAATGTCATTCTGCCTCAATGACAAAGTGTGTCCAAGAGGACACAGTTCTAAATAACTGAACCGTTCAAAGCTGTAACATTTACCAAAACAAGAAAATTAGTTCTATAATTCTTTAAAGGGTATCACCATCACAACTGAAAACATGTCCAAACAAAAATCTGTCTTTGGACGTCAAAACGTGGAAACAACCCAACGCCCATCCACGGATGGACAGACACACACATTACCTATGCATACTCTGAGTATTGCTCAGCTACGAAAAGTAGTGAAGCACCGATACGTGCTTACATGGATGGGCCTTGAAAACATGATGCTCAGTGAGAGAAGCCAGACCCAAAAGTCACCAAGTGTGTGACTCCATTTATGTGAAATGCTCAGAATGAGCAAATCCACAGAGACAGGAGCTGGGTTAGTGGTTGTCACGGGCTAGGGGACTGCTGGTGGGCCGCCCTCATCCAGACCACAAGTGCTGTGAAGTGACCAGGAAGCCCTTCTCGAGAAGACAGCAGGAGCCCAATGGGCACTGCATTTTTCTCAGGACGACCCTGAGCAGTGTCCTACAGGTGCTACTGCAAACCGTATCTCCTCTAGTGTGCACAGGGAAACCACCCAGGATAACTTGTGACATGATATGATGTGGCACAGGGCATGAGGAAGTGGCCCGTTCTCTAAACCACTCAGGTGCTATGGGAGGACCTGCCCGCAACCTGGTTGTATCCTATCGCTGAATCCTCTCTTCACCTGAGGAACATTCTGAATCTGCTATCACTACCAGTGACCAGCCCAGCCAAGACATGGGGAAGTGACTCGAGGCCAAAGTCCTCCCTGGAACTGTATAAGACAAAGCTTCTAGGGAGGGCCTAACATCCATCTTCTACCTGTATAAAGCCATGAAGAAGACAGCCATGAAGAAGACTGTCAGCTTTGTCCTGGGTCTTCCCTGCAAATCTACAAACCTGGAGGTGATCCTGAAGACCCTGATGCAGGTGATTTTAGGATCCTCCTGTGTGGTCTCTCTCTGCCTGGAGGCTCCCCCATCCAAGCCACACTGTCTTGAAACAGTGTGTGCTGCTCCCTTTGACCTCATACTCAAGGCAAGGAAATAGCCATAGTCCTCGCCTCTGCCTGCCAGGCCCCTCCTCTCTGTGCCATGGCCATCCAAAGAGTGATTGCCTAAGTGGGCTCTGTGTTACTGAGGCAAATGTGCCTGAGCTGACCCTGGCCATAAAGATGTGCAACGTTCCCACTGAAAAAAACCTTGTGACTGGCCCCCAAATCACTGAGTTCTCCTATTTCTCCCATCTGTGGAGACACGCGTAAGGGAAAAAGAGATGGAGGAGCCTCCAGCGCACACATCATCCTTTCCACGGGGAAACCAGATTTACTCATGTTCCAAGCCAGGTCAGTCCACAGTCTGACTCAGGCAGGTGATCACACCCCTGTCCCAGCCAGCTCCACCTTACCACAGACATCCTCCTGGGAGCCACCACCCACACCTCACAGAATTCACATGCTGTCAGCATCCAGGAAAAAGAGTATGGTCTGTATGAAGCATCCACTCCAATGGGGAGACGAAGGCAGGCCTCACCCAAAGCCAGGTGAGCAAGAACCACTGATAGGAGGCTCTAGGCTTTGTCATTCTGCCAATCTGCCCAGAGCAATCACAGATCTATACAGACAACGCTTAGCTGAACTGCCTGACTTCCAGGGACTCAACCCAGGCAGGATCATAGTAAAGGTGCCGATATCTCCATAACGCACACAGCTCACAGATGACTTTCCAAAGGACAAAGCAGCTAGCATTCCAGTGCCCAGCAGCTCTGCTCCTTCTGAGTCTGCCTGTCAGCAGCACTAGGCTGTCCTAATGTAAACAAGCCAGAGGGGGCAGCTAATACTCAGGTGGAGGCCCCAAGACACTTCCCGGAAAGGTACCTATCCCCAGGTACAGAGCTGCAGGACACCTTTCCCATGCAACACTTCATGTGCCCAAGTGTCAGACATTGGATGAGTGTAACCCGTGTGCCAGGCCCATCACTGGGAACCAAGAGCACACAATCAGGGTGTGAGCAGATGACTAAGGTACTGCAGGGGTTCTGGATATCGCTTGGGCAGAGCTGGATGAAGTGTCTCCCAGGTGGAGGTATGACAAATAAGCAGACAGAACCAAGTGGAAGGAGCAAATAGGGCACCAATGGAAGGAGAAATATGAGTGGGCAAGAACATCCTGGACACTGGGATCTGCTGGACTGCAGACAGGGAGGGTCAAGGGCAGAGGCTGGCCTTGCCTGACTGAGCGGTACCTCTGCAGATAGAGAGGGAAACAGAGGAGGAAGAGGCCACGAGGGATCCTTGGCCCTGTAAAGTAGGCTCTGGGGTGTAGAGAAGCTGGTCTATTTTTAGGCTCCTGTTAGGCTTTGTTTGCTTTCCAGTTCTTAAGTAATAGGAGGCAAGACTGCACTTGCCAACCCAACGCCTGGTCAAAACCAAAGAAAGCTTATGGGACTTCTCTCAAGATTCAGGACACATTCCTGCCAAATCCAGGCATCCAGCAATCAGGCAGATCCTCATCGCACTCTCTTGGAACAGGGCTGTGCCAGACAGGATGAGTTCCGGAAGCAAGTGAGAAGACACCAAAGGCACAGATGGCTGCTCAGCCTATGGCCAGCTTGTTCCAGATCCCACCAAGGCTAAAACCAAGTGTCCTTTTAGTGAAATTCTGCTCCCTGCCACTTCGCAGGAGCCCCATTGGGCTAATGAGCACCTTAAGCCCCAAGAAACCCAAAGAATGAGATGGTTTCCATGCAGGGAGCTCTCCTGTGTGCTCAACAATGTAGCACAATGTTCCAGACACATCACTGACCCCCAAACACACACAGGACTAGGCGCTGCCACTGGAATGTAGCAGAAGGAAGAAGGAAGGAAGGATAAATGAAGTACCCAAGGCAAGTCCCCAAGCACAAACACCCTCCCACCCCCACCCCCGCCCCTCAGCTTCCTCCAAACTGCAGAGTGCTGAAGGCAACAGGTGGATTGATTGGGGCTATTCTGGTAACCAGGACAATAAAAACTCTTACACTGTGTGCTTGAAACTGTTGGGCTCATTCACCAGAAGCAGAAAATATTTTTTGCCGAAACCGGTTTGGCTCAGTGGTAGAGTGTTGGTCTGCGGACTGAAAGGTCCCAGGTTCGATCCCGGTCAAGGGCATATACCTTGGTTGCGGGCACATCCCCAGTAGAGGGTGTGCAAGAGGCAGCTGATTGATGATTCTCTCATCGATGTTTTTAACTCTCTATCCCTCTCTCTTCCTCTCTGTAAAAAATCAATAAAATATGTATTTAAAAAAAAATAAACACACACACACACACACAAACATATATATATATATGTAAAATATGTAAAGGTCAGTTGCTTTCTTATAAACCAGCAATGAATCAATAGAATTTGAAATTAAAATGACACCACCATTAATTATTAGCATCACAACAAAAGGAGAGAAGGTATAAATCTAACAAAATATGTATAAGAATCTATGTGAGGAAAACATCCTTCACAAAAGTTAACTTAAATAGACCATAGACTTAAATGTAAAACACAAAACATGATCTGTGAAAGAAGAAGCTGTTATATTGTTTCCAAGGAGCAGGAAATTTCCTCTTTCCTACTCTCCCATACCCCCGATCAATCCCTAAACTATGATTATACGATTTAATCTATTTCCCTATTTTAGGGACATCAATTTCCACTCAATAGTCAACACCCCATGGGACAGCCTGCTTTAAACTGGTGACGATACAGAGGGAGAGGCCTGAACTTCTCCCAGGTGGAGTTGTGAGAGCCCTTTGGGAAGGAAGGGTCACAGAACAAGCTGGTGGAACCAGGAAGAATCTAAGTGGTTTTGGCATCAACAACTGGGTATGTGGGAGGTAATGAACTGAGACAGGAAGAGAAGGACCTGTTAAAAATCTGGTTTTGGACCCACACCAAATGAATAGACACTGCATTACAGCTGTATGTCCATGGGCAGCAGGACACCTGGTAGAAAGATGAACAGTCTTAAGCATGGAAATGCATTTCAAGAAGTAGATGTGGAGGCCCTGGGCAGAAGGAGCAGAGGGACCAGAGGATCCAGGCCAGGGCCTGAGGAACCTTGCCGATGAAAGGCTGGGCTGAATGATGAAGACCAAGGCAGCCTAGAGAGCCGTAGAGAATGCTGCCCCTGATCCCAGCCTTGCCAAGAAAAGGGGCTTCTGGGTTGGACCACATGCTGCTGGGAAGGCAGCACGAGAAAGATGCCACTCAGCTGGCCAGTGGATGGCGAAAGCGGCTGTTTCCTCCACACCCTACTTACCCACCTCGCTCCAGCTCCACTACACACACATACACACACACAACACGAAAGGAGCATAAGTGCTTTCCGAGAGCTCATCCGGTTCTGGAGATACGCAGAGGGCAGGTGATGATTACCTTTGCGCTAACCAAGGTCTGAGAAAGATGCCGCGATGTGCCACCTCTGTTCTCTGAAAGTATGGAGCAGGAGTTAGAACCACCTGTCCCCAAGGTGGCCCCTGAAAGAGGAAGATGAGCATGACCAAGAATGGGTGAAAGAGGGGAAGAGAGGAGGGAGAACTTCTAGGTAATGTCAGCTGCCCATCCAAGGGGCTCCTGAAGGGAGCTAAGCAGGCCTTCCTCCAGCAATACCACATGCCCAGTTCGGCTAGGCCAGGGCAAGAATGGGTGAGGAGGGGATGCCCCAATGGGGATGAGCTGGATCCACAGGAGATGAACGGCGGGTCTGGGAGAAGGAGAATGTATAGGGGACTTGTTAGGCAAGGGGGCATGGAGCGATGGCACTCACTGTGTATTCTGCATGCTTTTTTCCATACCATTTCATCCACTTCCTGAACTCTCGGTCCATGGTCTGCAAGGGAACAAAATCAGACAGCCCATCAGAAATCCAGAACAGGAAGGAAAGCAGAGGAACTTGGGCAGGTGGCCTATGGCTCCTTGAGGCCCATCCAGCACCTCATTCCCCTCCCACTCTGACAGATTAAGCTGAGACTGCCAGTCTGCCCCCTCCACCCACACAACCAGTAAGCAACAGCTCTAGCAGGATTCTGGGGTCCCATGGATGGTAGACTGCAGAGCCTATGATAGTTCCCAACCTCCAGGGAACTGGAGGCCACCAGAGTCCAAACCACAAACATTTCTGTTGGATGAGATGATGTTCAGACCCATTTACTCTGCAGTGTTACTTGGGGGCAAGGAGGCTATACTTTCCAGAGGAACAGAAACACACTAAGAGAAGCCCAAACTCACATTGGAGACCAAAGAGCCCCAGAGCTCATGCCTGGATGACCCTCTCTCCCCACGTCCCACCATACCCACCCTCCCCACCACCTGATGATGGGGGCAAATAGATGTGAAAAATAAAAGAGGCACAAAGACATGGCTGAGTCCCCAAAATGGCTCACCTCCGCGTACTTGGCTGGGATGTCTGCTTTCTCGACTCCGTAGTGATGTTTGCAGTTGGTGGCCGCGGCGACTTGCAGCACGACCTGGCCCACTCCTTCAGAGAGTGGTGGGGGGAGAGGTAGTCACAGATGTAGGACCGTGATGGAGGGTGGGAGAAGCCAGGAGGGCAGGGGTCAGGAGGCTATTCGGCAGAGCCCCCAGACTCTCCACGAAGGTATGAGCATTCACTAGGAGGTGGTTGTCACACTTTAGCTCCCACAACTAGAATTGATCTATTGCCAGGTGAAGCATGAACTATCCAGACACAAACACAGCCCTTAGAGACTGATGCCTCAGGGTGAGGCTCCCATTTATCTGGAATCCACACTACACTGCTGCCACAGCACAGCAAGGCTCACCAGATTTGACAACATCTTGAGAACACCATCAATGCTTGTCATTGACTGGGTTTAAAGTGGGACTGGAGATGGCAGGAGCCCCCCGAAAAACAAATGGGATCTCCAAACCACTGTCCCTGGTAGCATCACTGCCCAGCCAGACAAGCAGGTGGAGCCGAGACCCAGGAAAGGGGCACTGCCTGCTAGCACTGGCATTGTGGCCATTAGCCAGCAACCTGTCCTTCCATGAGAGGTCAGCTTTGCATTTCAAATAAAGTGTTAGAGCCCTTCAATTTTCCATTTTGAATAAAATGCATTCAAATAATAAAAATAAGCACACATGCCTGGCTGGCACGGCTCAGTGTTTGAGTATCAATCTATAAACCAAAAGGTCAGGGTTCGATTCCTGGTCAGGGCACATGCCCAGGTAGCAGGTTCAATCCCCAGTATGGGGCATGCAGGAGACAGCTTATGGATGATTCTCTCTTATCACTGATATTTCTATCTCTCTCCCCTTCTCTCCTCCCCTCTGAAATCAATTACACACACACACACACACACACACACACACACATTTTTTAATAAGCACACTATTTAGAAACACAAGTAAATGAAAGCCCACAGGTAAAGGTCGTGAGGGTCCCTACCAGGAGCAGGGGAGGTAGTGAGAGTCATGCACAAGACTGGTGGTTTTAAAAAGCCATCACTATTTCAATATAAGAGAAATAAGTTAACCAGCCTTCTAAATAACTGGCTTTTGAACCACGTGCATTCTAATTAAAATATAAATTGTGTGCTTGAAAAGGGCTTAAACTAAGGATGATGCCACCAAAAATGTCATCTTGTTCCCAAGTGTCGAGGACACACGTGCCTGTTTGAGACAGGGCTTTCAAGTCTGTAAGCGTGAGGCTATAGTGTATAAACAAAATCGCATGGGGATGGCAAAGATACCCGAGAGGAAGGCTGTGCACAGGTTTCCTAGTAGAGCAATCTCATGTTTGACAGTCACATAATCAGCCCTGTCACGCCAATCAGAATATTCTACCAGGAATCAATCAGCCTGGTGTCTACTCATTCTACAAAGCTCATCTTGGGCACACCCGCCAGGCCCCTGTGGATGTCCTGGTAAGACAGGCCTTGCTCCCAGTAGCCTCCACTGGTGCTGAGGATGTTCCATAACAAAGAAGTAGGGGGCCGTTGGAGCTGGAGAGAACTGGGACCCTAACCAGGTATTGAGAAGCAGAAGGGGCTTAGTTGAAACCTGTTGGGATATAGCTGTTTCCTCCATCTCTGGGGGAGCCAGAGGATCTGCAGGAAGGTCGGCTGGGGCAGTGGGTCTGAGGGAGGACCTGCCCTCTCCAACAATCCCACTCTGAACTTTTCACAGAGAACAGCTGGCGACTTGGAGCATGGCCCTGGGGCCACCTGTCCCACACTCACCACTTCCCAGGTCCACAAATAGGTCGTCCTCAGTCATCTTGATCTCGTCAATCATCTGTGCGACCAGGTCAAAGGAGGTTTCCCCATATACCTCTGGGGAGAAGGGCTCGTAGTTGTTGAGCTTCTCAGGGTCCGTCACTGAGTGGTTGTAAACCTGCTGCAGGATGTGCCGCAGGAGCCCATTGGATGGCCGTGTGTTCAGCTTCATGGGCTGCGTGGTTCCCTTCCACTACAGACATCAAGGAAAGTGCAGGAATGCATCACACAGGGGAGAATACATCCTACGACCTTCACACCCCAACACCAGGTTACTGCTCCCTATTGAAAAAAAGCATGCATGTGTGTATACGTAAGTGTAATGTGTGTATACATGTGTGTATATCTGGGTATGAGCCTGAGTATGTATATGAGTACAAATGTATATAGGTGTGCATGTGTGTGAATGCATGCATGCATGTATGTGTAACTGGCGAGCAACAAGGGCCATAATGCACACAATGCTCACTGCCTGAGCCCTGCCATGCTGCCATACTGCCTCACTAGACAACAAGGTTGTTAGCCTGTTGACCTCAGAACCCTGGCCTCAGAATGGCTGTTTTCCTGAAAATCTACCAGGAAAAGAAATGGGCCCAGAGCAGCAGAGAGCCAGCATCCTTCAGCCTTGGCCTTCCCCTCCTGGGATCAAGTAATGTGAATGAAGGACATTGAGGTTGAAAACCACAGTTGGGGTCTAGATGAGGAGATAGGCCTAAGGGTGAGGCCACCTACCAGCTGGTGGATGCTGTCAATGGCCCGATTGTACTTGTCACAGAGCCTCTGCATGCTTTCAAAGCTGAAAAAGGCAAAAGAAAGGCGCTAGTTACTGCCAAGGTCAGAACAGGACACCAGGAGGGGATGGCATGTGGATAGGTGTCACAGGGTCAGGCAGAGACTGGCTCCCACCCAGTGGTCACAGGGCACCAAAGAGTACCCCACATGGGCAACAAGGCTAGGCCAAGAGTTTCAGGGTGAGGTAGTCATGGCTACAGGCTGTATCTTGTACTCACAGGCCAAACCCGAGGTCAATGGTGTGTTCATCAGGCCATAGGTTAGAAAAAGGGTTCATACAGCCTTTCCTAGAGTCCCATTCCTCACCCCCAACCCAGCAGGCAGGCTATTACAGCCTTTCTTTCCCTGGCTGGATCCCAGCCCTCCCGCCGTCGGCCCTGACTTGGATGGGTGCTGAGAACTGACTTTACTGGACCACGCCCAATACCCTAACTGCAGAAAGGAGAGCAGCACTTCCCCTCTTCACCTTGGTATTACTTCTGTTTACTAAAACCTTTTTCAAGTTTCCAACACTTTTTTTTCTTTTTTTAAATATATTTTATTGATTTTATACAGAAAGGAAGGGAGAGAGATAGAGAGCTAGAAACATCGATGAGAGAGTCATCGATCAGCTGCCTCCTGCACACCCCCTACTGGGGATATGCCCGCAACCAAGGTACATGCCCCTGAACGGAATCGAACCCGGGACCCTTCAGTCCCCAAGCCGACACTCTATCCATTGAGCCAAACCGGTTTCGGCATCAAGTTTCCAATACTTTCAAAGATATAAACAACATGTGTTAGATGAGCTTGGGGGAGTTTTTTTTTTAAAACATATATTTTTATTGATTTCAAAGAGAAAGGAGAGGGAGAGAGAGAACATCGATGTTAAGACAGAATCATTGATCAGCTGCCTCCTGCATACGCCACACTGGGGATCAAGCCCAAAACCCAGGCATATGCCCTGATCAGGTATCGAACGATGACCTCCTGGTTCATAGGTTGATGTTCAACCACTGAGCCATGCCAGCCAAGTGGGAGTAGTTTTTTAAGTAACAAAATTTTGGGGGAAGGTGCAGGATCAGGATGGATGGGGTCAATGGAGGAGGAAAGGCGGACACTCAACAATAAATATAAAAAAATTAAAAAAAAAGAAATTAAATTCTCCCAAACATGATCAATTTTATTTCAGGTATTTCTTTTCAATGAAATCCCCTAACCCAGGGATTTTCATCTGGGATTATCATGCACCCAAAGAAAACAGGGTGATGTCTGGGAGCATCTGTGTTTGTCATGACTTGGGGTGCTCCTAGCATCTTGTAGGTGCTCAGCACACACAGTGCCCAGAACTGTCCCACAGAAAGTGACCCAGCCCTGATGTCCACAGTGCCAAGGGGGAGGACATGTACCAAGTTTCTATGCTATATAAAAGGAGCATCCCTGGGGCTCTCTATATCTGTTTAGTGATGCCAGCTAAGTAATGGGCTCCTTCACACATGGGACAGAACCACTACTCCCCACAAGCATTTTTGATACCCACCCCACTTCTCATTCTCAGCCCTAGATTTACAGAGTGTAGGGCCACTTTCCTTCCTAACAAAAGTAACAAATTCAACTAAGACCAGAGCCCACAAGACACTTTTACAACTTCTCTGGATGGCAGGTGCCATTGAAAAAGCTAGAGAGGCCAAGACCGGTTTGGCTCAATGGATAGAGCGTCGGCTTGGGGACTGAAGGGACCCGGGTTCGATTCCGGTCAAGGGCATGTACCTTGATTGCGGGCATATCCCCAGTGGGGGGGGGGGTGCAAGAGGCAGCTGATCGATGACTCTCTCTCATCGATGTTTCTGGCTTTCTCCCTTCCTCTCTGTAAAAAATCAATAAAATATATTTAAAAAAAAAAAAAAAAACTTTTTAAAGAAAAAGCTAGAGAGTTCAAGGGCAGGACAGAGCAGCCATCACCAAAACCTGAAGAGTTCTCACAAACGGCAGTGACTGTGACCAGAAACATCAGAGCGGGCTGATGCGATTAGTCAGTGACCAGGAGAAACGAGCTCCAGCACATTCCAGATGGGAGGATGACTTAGCAGCAGGTCCAGGGCTCTGGTCTACACTTTCTGTGGCCGCAGGCAGAAGCCACTACAGTATTCACCACTCTGCATTTTAGTTCCCGTGCTCCAACATTCACATCACCCCTTCAACCCAACCACAGTGACCACTCACAGCCTCCGACCAACCGACCACCCCTGGAAGACATTCTCCTGCAAGGATGATCAGAGGCGGGAACTCAGAGCACCTGGGCCATATCCCTGCACTCTAGCCCTAGAGAGGAATCCATCCCAACAGACCAAGCTCAGTCCCACAGGCTATCCCTGCTGTCCCTGTGCTTGAAAGAGAAATGGTCCTACTGCTTGCCTGACCCTGAGGTTGCACCAGTCCCTCGAGGGATACCATCAGACAGGCCCCACTGCTCTCTGCCAACTCTGACATCTTTTCTAAGCCAACTGAACATGAAAGGAAGAACATTAAACTTTCAATGCAAACATCTTGTAGAAAAAGCACCTCTCATACATCTGTTGCTGAAGGCCCTACACAACAGTGGCACCCCTTTAATAAAGACTAGAAGTCTAGCCGGAACCGGTTTGGCTCAATGGATAGAGCATCGGCTTGGGGACTGAAGGGTCCCGGGTTCGATTCCGGTCAAGGGCATGTACCTTGGTTGCGGGCATATCCCCAGTGGGGGGGGGTGCAGGAGGCAGCTGATCGATGACTCTTTCTCATCGATGTTTCTAACTCTATCTCTCTCCCTTCCTCTCTGTACAAAATCAATAAAATATTTTTAAAAAAGACAAAAAAAAAAAAAAAAAAAAAAAGACTAGAAGTCTAGTACATGAAATTCATGCACTCAGGATGGTCCCTCATCCCCCAGCCTGCACCCTTGGGGAACATGCAGGATCAGGATGGATGGGGGTCAATGGGGAAGGTAAGGGGGAATCTGTAACTGTGAGTGTCAGACTACCATAGAGCCATGAGCCCAGCTTCTGGCTGAGCGGCGCTCGCCCTGTGGGAGTGCACTGACCACCAGGGGACAGCTCCTGTGTTGAGCATATTAGCCTTTTATTATATAGGATGTGCTTCTCGGACTATGTGATTGACATGCAAGTGCCAGTGCATCTACATATCCTCACCCCAGGGGCAAGAGGACTTTGTCATGGGGCCCACAGCATGGTTGATGCCCTGGACAAGGAGAGTGCAATTACCCTTTTTCCCCCCCTCCAATCTTCACCCCAGGATATGTTTTTACTGATTTGAGAGAGGAAGGAAGAGGGAGAGAAGGGGGGTATAGGGAGAGAAGAGGAAGAGGAGGGAGGGGGAAAGAGAGAAAGAGAGAGAAATATTTCTACTGGATTTCAACTGAATGCCTCCCATACACACACCAATCGGGGATTGAACCCACAACAAGGGTATGTGCCCCAACTGAAAATTAAACAGATAACCTTTTGGTGTATGGGATGATGCTCCAACCAACAGAGCCACACCAAACAAGGCTGGTTCCCTTCTTTTTACAAAACTGGGTAACAATTATTAAATGGGAAGGATGGTGAGAGATGAGAGGAAAGAATCTGGCTGACTGAGGTGGAAAATGCTGGCAGTGAACAAGGCTTTAAACACAAAAGTGAGGTCAAGGAAGGGATGCCTGAGTGCTGGGCCCTGTGTGGGCCATGCTCTTCATCAAGAGTGAGCTATCTAAGCCCACAGACAGCACCACCCTTTAGCCTGCCAAAAGCTAAAATGGACACGAGCCTGGAATGTCATCTTTCTTTCTCAAAGAAAAATAAAAGAATTCCAAGCGGGCATTCCAGAGCTGGCCTCTCCCTTCTACACCCACAAGACTCCCCTTTGAGATCAGGATGTGCCTGCAGGAAACTGCTGACTGAGGCCAAAAGGCTGGGTACAGTTATTGAGATTCGGACTGGGGCTAACAAGTGTCTGGGGCTCCAGAGGCCAGGCCATCAGTGGCTTCTGAGTAGGAGGAAGCTTCGCTGCTGGAGTTGCCTGCTATGAAAACAGTGACTATTGGAGGAATCCAGATGGCGGCATAGGTATACCACTGCCTCACATAACAATTTCAAAACTGCAACAAGAAGACAGAGCAGACATTGTCCAGAACCACCAGAAGGCTGGTTGAGAGGAAATTCTACAACTAGAAGGAAAGAAAAAAGGACACTGAGACTCAGAGAAGCTGAGGAGGTGGGGAGACCCGTGCGCATGGCAAGGGTGGATGGCTGAATACACAGCTGGCTTATTCACGGCACACAGAGAGGGCGGGCAGCAAGCGCACAGCTAGCTTTCTTGTTCGGGAGGGGAAACAAAACCTCCCAACTGCACTGAAATCCAGCTCCAGGTGAGACTTTGAGTACCAGACACATTCGGGGAAGAACCGGACTGTCTGGCAGTGGGCGAAACTCAAGAGCAGCCTTCTCTCAGAGGTACGTGCAGCCTTGCTGTGGGACACTGAGACATAGGGACCTCTTAGGGAGGGGCTGACAAGAAACCAAGGCTGTCTGCTCCACCCTGAGATTCCGCCCCATCCAAGCTGAGCACAGAAGCTCTCCCAGCAGAGACACTGCTGATCCTCATCACCAGTTGGCCTGGAGGTCAACTCTCCCCAGTGATACTAACAACAATCAAGGCTTAACTACAACAAGACTGCACACACAGCCCACAAAGGGTGCACCAAGAGTGTCCACCTCAGGTAACTGGGGAGGCTGAGCCACTGGGCCCTATAGGACACCTACCACACAAGGCCACTCCATCAACACAGGGAAGCAGCTAAAATACAGAGACAAAGAGGCAGGCCACAAATTAAGAAAATGAACAAAAGCAAAAGACTGGATATAGAGTTCAAAACCACGGTTATAAGGTTTTTCAAAAATTTCCTAGAAAGGGCTGATAAATTTTTTAAAATATATATATTTTATTGATTTTTTACAGAGAGGAAGGAAGAGGGATAGAGAGCTAGAAACATCAATGAGAGAGAAACATCAATCAGCTGCCTCCTGCACACCCCCTACTGGGGATGTGCCCGCAACCAGGTACATGCCCTTGACCGGAATCGAACCTGAGACCTTTTAGTCCACAGGCTAATGCTCTATCCAATGAGCCAAACCAGTTTCGGCATTTAATGAGACCCTTGAGAATTTCAAAAGGATCAACTAGAAATTAAACATACACTGACTGAAATAAAAAATATTATACAGCCGGGACCGGTTTGGTTCAGTGGATAGAGCGTCGGCCTGCGGACTGAAAGGTGCCAGGTTCGATTCCGGTCAAGGGCATGTACCTTGGTTGCGGGCACATCCCCAGTAGGGGGTGTGCAAGAGGCAGCTGATTGATGATTCTCTCTCATCGATGTTTCTAACTCTCTATCCCTCTTTCTTCCTCTCTGTGAAAAGAGACCCAATAGCAGACTAGAGAATTGCATGAATCAAGTCAAAGATTTGGAATACAAAGAAGCAAAAAACACTCAATTGAAAAAGCAAAAAGAAAAAAGAATCGAAAAAGTTGAAGACAGTGTAGGAAGCCTCTGGGACAACTTCAAGCATATCAACATCAGAATTATGGGGGTCCCAGAAGAAGAGAGAGAGCAAGATACTGAAAACCCATTTGAAGAAAATTTCTCCCACCTGGTGAAAGAAATAGACTTACAAGTCCAGGAAGCACACAGAACCCCAAACAAAGGAATACAAAGAGGATCATACCAAGACACATCATAATTAAAATGCCAAGAGCAAAAGACAAAGAGAGAATATTAAAAAGCAGCAAGAGGAAAACAGTTAGTTACCTACAAGGGAGCAGCCATATGTCAGCTGATTTCTCAACAGAAACTATGCAGGCCAGATGAGAATGGCAAGAAATATTCAAAGTGATGAATAGCAAGAAACTACAACAAAGATTACTCTACCCAGAAAAGCTATCATTCAGAATTGAAGGTCAGATAAAGAGCTTCACAGATAAGAAAAAGCTAAAGGAGTTCATCACCACCAAACCAGAATTATATGAAATGCTTAAAGGTATTCTTTAAGAAGTTAAAGAAGAGGAAAAGATAAAGATAAAAATCATGAACAAATATATATCTATCAACAAGTGAAAAATCTGATGAACAGGATTAACTGGTGAATATAATAGAATCAGAGGCATAAAAAGGGAGTGGACTGACAATTCTTGGGGGAAAAGCGAAATGGGGGTGCGGGAAAAGACTGAACAAAAAGCGTACACCTATGAATGAGGACAGTAAGGGCAGAAGGTGGGGTAGGAACTGCTGGAGGAGAGCTATGAGGGGGGAAAAAGAGGAACAATTGTAATAATCTGAACTGTAAAGATTTATTAAATTTAAAAAAAAGAAAAGAAAGCAGCAACTATTAACTTGAGGTGATTTCACAGAGACCAAGTCTCGTTGCACAATGTGACACTCTCAATTATGTTCTCACTCTGACAGCCTCTGCCAATATTCGATTTAAAATTCTTATAATATAGCCGAAACCGGTTTGGCTCAGTGGTAGAGCGTCAATCTGCGGACTGAAAGGTCCCGGGTTCGATTCCGGTCAAGGGCATGTACATTGGTTGCGGGCACATCCCCGGTGGGGAGTGTGCAAGAAGCAGCTGGTCGATGTTTCTCTCTCATCGATGTTTCTTACTCTCTATTCCTCTCTCTTCTGCTCTGTAAAAAATTAATGAAATATATTTAAAAAATAATAAAATAAAAATAAAATTCCTATAATATAGTCGAAGCCAGTTTGGCTCAGTGGATGTCGGCCTTCAGACTGAAGGATCCCAAGTTCGATTCCGGTCAAGGGCACGTACCTTGGTTGCGGGCACATCCCCAGTAGGGGGTGTGCAAGAGGCAGCTGATCGATGACTCTCCTCAATGTTTCTAACTCTCTATCTCTCTCTCTTCCTCTCTGTAAAAAAAATCAATAAAATATATAAATAAATAAATAAATAAATAAATAAATAAATAAATAAATAGCTCCACAGAGATTTACAGCCAATTCTGAAAGGAAATTTCAGATCAGCTTGTACCATTAAAGAACTAATTATAGGCTATGTCCCTATCATGTATTCAGATAGAAGAGAAGCAGCTCAGACAGAAATCTACTTACCTTTTGGTGTCGTAGTCGATTAGGACGTAATTCTCCATAGCAAGCTTGAGGTCTGGGATTTCCTCACAGACCCATCTGAAATCCAAAAGCAGAAACAACAATGAAGATGATTATTCAGGCTGGACATTTCACTCTCAACTTTCTTAAGCACTGTTTACTTCTAAATATAAATAGAAAATATCCTCATTACTCAACTGGAGTCATCACTACAGATCATACAGAGAATAAAAGGCAAATCAGGAATATGATGGAAAATGGCATGCCAATGAATTCAACAACTTAGTTGACGTGAACAAATTCCTTGAAAGACACAAATTACCAAAACTGACATGAGAAAAAAACAGAACATCTGAATAGCTCTATCCAATTACATAATCCGAATAAAATACCTTCCCACGTAGAAAACTCCAGGCCAGATGGCTTCACTGGTGAATTATATCAGACATTTGAGAAGAAATAGAACCCATTCCACCAAAATGTTTCCAGTTTTATGAGGCTAACATTACCCAGATACAAAAACCAGAGGAAGACAAAAGCCTTGTAAAAACATTACAAGAAAGATTTTTGTGACATCAACAGACACAAAAACCCTTCACAAATATTACAAATGAATTCAGCAACATATTTTTATCAAGTGAGGTTTATTCTAAGAATGAAGAGTTGCTTAACACTAAAATTTATCTCATCCTATCTAATAAAAGAAATATGCAAATTAACCACTGCTCTGCCACACCCACTAACCATCTGTCACGCCCACAAGCCACACCCACAAGCCAATCAGGAGCAAGTATGCAAATAATCCCAACCAAGATAGTTGAGCCACAGAGAGAGCAGGAAAGGGTTGGGTTTCCCCGGCAATGGAGGAAGCCAAGATTTCCAACTGCCCTTGCCAGCTTAGGCCTGCACTCAATGCTACAAAGTTTCAATTATAGAAGATACATAAATCCCCACAGAAATGGTGGCAGCCACAGAGCTGGAAGAGCAGGAGGCTAGGGTTGCCCCCAGTGATGGACAAACCCAAGCTTTCCCCACACCCTGGCCAGCCCAGACCTCCACTTAAGACTACAAAATTTCAATTATAGAAGATACATAAATCCCAACAGAAATGGCAGCTACCATGGAGCAAGCAGAAGACTTGGCTCTGCTCTAGGCTACAAAGTTTCAATTGTAGAAGATAAATAAACCCCAGATACCAGGGCCTCAGCTTGGGTCACCAGGGGGCGTGGCTGGCCTGCAAACCACCACAGGCCCCTTGCCCAGGCTGCCCCCGCCCCAAAGGAACCTTCACCTTGATCCGGAACATCCTTCAGGGCAAACCAGTAGACCCCTACCCGTGCACCAGGCCTCTATCTTATCTAATTAAAGAGTAATATGAAGATGGACAATCACTCCAACACATAAGATGGTTGCCCCATGTGGTCAAAGATCCTGCCCCCTGTGGACACAAGCTGGCCATCACAAGATGGTCAGCAGGAGAGGGCAGTTGGGAGGGACCAGGCCTGCAAGGGAAGGCAGTTGGGGGTGACCATGCCGGCAGAGGAGGGAAATTGGGAGGGACCCAGGCCTGCAAAGGAGGGCAGTTAGGGGTGATCAGGCCTGCAGGAGAGAGCAGTTATGAGCAAACAGGCTGGCGATGTTTCTAACTATCTCTCTCCCTTCCTCTCTATAAAAAAATCAATAAAATATTTTTAAAAAGAAAAAAAATTAATATATTTTATTGATTTTTTATAGAGGGAGAGGAACAGAGAGCCAGAATCATCGATGAGAGAGAGACATCGATCAGCTGCTTCCTATACACTACCTACTGAGTATGTGCCCACAACCAAGATACATGCCCTTGACTGGTATCGAACCTGGGACCCTTGAGTTTGCAGGCCAACGCTCTAACAACTGAACCAAACTGGTTGGGGAGAAAAAAAAAAAATTAATGTCACTTAAAAAAGCATTAAAACATAAACATTTAGACCCCGGCTGGTGTAGCTGTTAGTTGGAGCATCACCCATGTACCAGAAGGTTGCAGGTTCAATTCCTGATCAGGGTACATGCCTAGGTTGTGGGTTCAACCCCAGGTCGGGGCACCTACAGGAGGCAACTGATTGATTTCTCTCTCTCACATCAATGTTTCTCTCTTTCTCCCTCTCTAAAAAATATCCATTTAAAAACTCCTTAAGCCGGGACCGGTTTGGCTCAATGGATAGAGCATCGGCTTGGGAACTGAAGGGTCCCGGGTTCGATTCCGGTCAAGGGCATGTACCTTGGTTACGGACATATCCCCAGTAGGGGGTGAGCGAGAGGCAGCTGATCGATGACTCTCTCTCATCGATGTTCTGGCTTTCTGTCTCTCTCCCTTCCTCTCCGTATAAAATCAATAAAATATATTTAATAAATAAATAAATAAATAAATAAACAAACAAATAAATAAATAAAAATAAATAAAAACTCCTTTAAAAAAACAAATATTTAGAGATCATTTTTTTTCTTTCTTTTTTAAAAAAATATATTTTATTGATTTTTTACGGAGAGGAAGGGAGAGAGATAGAGAGCTAGAAACGTCTATGAGAGAGAAACATCGACCAACTGCCTCCTGCACACCCCCCACTGGGGATGTGCCCGCAACCAATGTACATGCCCTTGACCGGAATCGAACCCGGGACCTTTCAGTCCGCAGACCAACACTCTATCCACTGAGCCAAACCGGTTTCAGCTTAGAGATCATTTTAATGAAAGTCTTGCAAGAGCTCTATTGAAAACTAAAAAAAAAAAATGCTGAGAAAAGTTAAAGGCAACATAAACAATTAATGATCATGGAATTGAAGACTCAATATTGTTAAACCTCCTCCTTAAACTAGACTCCACTTCAAAGTAATCCCTAAAAAAAGCCCAGCAAGTTTTTTTTTGAGAAACAGACAAACTGATTCTAAAATTGACACAGAAGCCAAAACCGGTTTGGCTCAGTGGATAGAGCGTCTGCCTGTGGACTGAAAGGTCCCGGGTTCGATTCCGGTCAGGGTATGTACCTTGGTTGCAGGCACATCCCCAATTGGGGGTGTGCAAGAGGCAGCTGATCGATGACTCTCATCGATGTTTCTAACTCTCTACTCTGTATCTCTCTCCCTTCCTCTCTGTAAAAAAATCAATAAAATATATTAAAATAAATAAATAAATAAATAAAAATAAAATAAAGTTTACACACAAAAACAGAGAACCTGGAATAGCCAAAATAATCTTTAAAAATAACAGCACTGTTGCAAAACTTACACTATCTTGTTTTGGGACTAACTATAAACCTACAGTAACCAGTAGTATGTGGTAAACAAATAGGGCAGTGACACTGAACACAAAATCCAGAGAGACAAACATATAAACATGAAATTTTGATAAAAGCACCAAGATAACTTAATGGAGAAAATAGTCTTTCCAACAAATGAGGTTGCAGCCCTGAATGGTTTGAGTTAGTGGATAGAGTGTCAGCCTGCACACCAAAGGGTCCTGGGTTCGATTCCGGTCAACGGCACATACCATGGTTGCAGGCTCCTCCCAAGCCTAGACCCTAGTGGGGGCACATGTAGGAGGCAACTAATAAATGTGTTTCTCTCACATCAATGTTTCTGTCTTTCCCTCCTTCCATTCCCTCTAAAAGATCAATGGAAAAACATTCTCAGGTGAGGATTAACCAAAAAAACAACAAATGAGGCTGGAACCACCAAGTATCAGATGGAAAAAACTTGAATTTTCACCCTCATAATCTTTATAATCTCATTTGTTAGAACCAAGATTAATTCACAATTGATACTAAACCTGAATGTAAAAGTTAAAACCACAGAGCTTCTAGAAAAAAATAAAAGATAGTATATCTTTGCAACTCAGGAGGCAGATTTCCTGGATGCGACCCAGACAACTAACCACCAAAGAATGAACTCAGTTAAAAGCTTCCACTCATTGAGATGTCATTAAAACCGCAGTCAGCTACACTACACCTCATGTAGTACTTCACCAGGCACTTGCTGCCAAAATATGTTAAGAATTCTTACAGGGGGAGACAAACAACTCAATCTCAAGAAATGGCAAAACAAAGCAGAGCTTCCCAGAGAAGTGGCCGATTCGAGGGTGTGATGTGGAAACTCAGAATGACTCTGGAGCATTCTGTGGTTCCTAAAAGTGAGGCTGGACTCAGAATGGGCAGGAGAAAGAGAAACGGACAAAATGAAAAAGCCCCATTGGGCTCCCAGAGTTGAAAACACATTCATTATGTGGTGGAAAGGTGAACAGAATGAAGGAACTGTGGTCTCTCCTACAACAGCATACTGCTCAGTAATAAAAAGGAAAAGCTACTGGTACACATAATGGAGAATCTCAAAACTGTGTGCTCAGCAAGTGCTGTACAATTCCATATAGGTAAAATTTTACAAAACGTAAAGTAACACGCAGTGCCAGAAAGCACATCAGGGCTGGCGGGGAGAAGAGCGAAGAGGGAGATGGATTCAGGGGACACGAGGAAATGTAGGGGATAGAGATACTGCTGTGCATGGACATGTGCATAGCTATCCCACTTAGACTGCACACTTCACACATTAGCAGTTTCTGTGCTTTGGGTGTATTTCAGTTACATTTTTTAAAGTAATGATATCAGGACAAACCAAGATGTCGGCAGAGGTAAACACCTAAACAGCTGCCTCACACAACAATTTCAAAACTACAACTAAAAGACAAAATGTCTATCACCCAGAACCACGGGAAAGCTGGGTGAGTGGAAGTTCTACAATTAGAAGGAAAGAGAAGACACTGAGACGTGCACAAGCCCTAAAAAGCTGAGGTACGGAGGCGCATGAATAGGGCTGGTGGTGGGCAATTGGATAAGCTGCTTTTTTTCAACCTGAAGGGAGACAAGCTCCCGATTACTCTGAAATCCAGTTTCTGGGGAGACGCTGAGACCCAAACTCCCCCGGAGAAAAGCTGGACTGTCGGCCATTGGGCGGAAAGTGAGGGTGACTTTCTTGCAGAGGTGTGCCCAGCAATCATTGTTTATTGCCCTGGGGCGCAGGACGTGGGGACTTGGAAACACAGAGACTGGCAGC